CCCCAGCAGACAGGGTGTGTGCCCGGCCACTTCTCCATCCACGTGGCTTTGTCCTTCCAAGAACCCGATCATCACTTCCTGCCCCTCTGACGGAAGGTCACGAGGACCCCGCCCCTCCTCCCCCACCCACAGTGAATGGGGCCACCAGGGCCCCCACTCGGAAGAGTGTGAGGTCACCCACATCCAGGTTGTCCATCTCACAGAGGTGTGCTGTGGGTCAAGCACCCCAGCCCGTCTGAACCATAAGAGGCGGTAACAATATCTGCTTAAGGTGTGGAAACTCTTAGCATGATTTTTTTTTTAATTTGAGCCAAGACTTTAAATCAGAAGATTTCATATCAGCAGTTGGATTCTCCAGCTTCTCAAAAACAATCTTAATATCTGGCCTCACTGGGCCTGAGTTCCCACTGGGCAGAATTACTGACGCCGAGTGATTGCTTTAGATGGGAGATGCCTCCCCACTTTGCCACAGTCCCCACCTCTCCCTGTGTGCATGAGGCCTGCTTTGCTCATTTATATTCCAGGCCTAATCCGGAAGGCACTGCAGTTGGCCAACGCTGTTAGCATTTTGGCTGCCTGGTCCTCAGAGCGTCAGCAAACTCCCACTTCCTACTCATGTCCATCATGAGCTAAGAATGTTTTTTTAAAAAATATATTTTATTGATTTTTTACAGAGAAGAAGGGAGAGGGATAGAGAGTCAGAAACATCGATGAGCGAGAAACATCGACCAGCTGCTTCCTGCACACTCCCAGCCGCGTCATCCAATGTGTACATGCCCTTGACCGGAATTGAACCTGGGACCCTTGAGTCCGCAGGCCGATGCTCTATCCACTGAGCCAAACCGGTTAGGGCAAGAACGTAATTTTAATGGTTGGGAAAAATCAAAACAAGAATCCTTTTTGTGATACATGGAAATTATATAACATTAAATTTTCAGTGTCCATAAATGAAATTTTATTGGGACACAGCCACGCCCCCTCATTTAGGACACATCTGTGGCTGCCGCACACTCCCAGGGCGGGGCCGGGGGTCAGAGGCCTGTCTGTCCGTCCGTCCCTCCCGCTGTCCGTCCCTCTCCAGAGGAAGCCGCTGCTTTCACCTCCTGGGGCTGCCGCACCGATCACCACGCACGGGCGGCTGGGAAAACAGACACCTTCTCCCCCAGCTCTGGAGCCAGGAGTCTGGGGTCAAGGTGTCGGCAGGTCCCCGCTCCCTCCGGCTCTGGGGGGGCCTTTCTCCCCTCTGGTCTCCACCCCCCGCCTCCTCCTCTGTCTTATAAGAACGTGTCCCTGGGTTCAGGGCGACCGGATAGTCCAGGTGGCCTCGTCTCGAGATCCCCTATTTAGTTATATCTGCAAAGACCCTTTTTCCAAAGAAGGTCGTAGTCACAGTCCCAGGTCATGGACATGGGTTTTCTCTGGAGGGTTGAGGAGGAGGCACCATTCACCCCTGCAAATGGTTTCTCGCCTTCTAGAAGCTTCCATTCTCTTGAAGGGAGGCTAAGGACAACCCACTCACCCACCCCTACTCAAACACTTAAAAAAGAAACGCAACCGTCAGTGTTGACAAGAGCTGCGAAGAAAACCCAAGTGGGGTGAGGAGGCGGAGTGGCCAGGAGGGTTACGTGGGCAGCGCGCCAGCAGACACAGGGCCCAACGCAGCAAGTGCGGAGGCCACGGAGGGCCGGCGGCTCGTATGAGGAGCAGCAAGGGCGCCCGCCGTGAGGCTGGCGGAGAGCGAGACAAGAATGACAACCATTTGGCCCTGGCCAGTGTAGCCCAGTGGGTTGAGCGTCGTCCTGCGCACCAAAGGTCACCGGTTCGATTATGGGCTTGGGGCACCTATGGAAGGCAACCAATCAATTTCTCTCTCTCTCTCTCTTTCTCAAAATCAATTTTAAAAAATATTTTTCTTTAAAAAAAAAAGAATGGTTCTAATTTGGGGGACCGTCAGCTATGGGGCTTCTCCAGCCAGGCCTTCGCCACGCGGTAGGAAGGACTGGTTGCTGCGTCTCTCCTGCCCCCAGCCTAATGCCCACAGCCTCCTTCACCCTCACTCAGCTCTCCTGGGACCTGCGATCACCCTCCGGCCCCCATTCTTCTGGTGAATGAACTGAGGTGAGCTGCAAGGGCGTTCAGCAGGAGGCGGAGAGCAGCGGCCCGAAGTCAGTTCCCTGCCCCAAAACCTCGAGCACTTTCTCAGGGGCCTTCTTAAAGCCAAAGGGAGAGGGCGGGCGCTGGGTTCACTGAACAGGCTGCAGAGCAATCGGGTTCCTCCTACAGCAGGAGGCTCTGGCTGCCTGTCCTGCTCCGACTTTCAAGGTCACTGTCACAGCAAACAGCGTTCACACTCAGTGGTCCCTGCCAGGCCAGCTGGTGCCTGCAGACACTGAGCCACCACCGCCTGGCTGTCCCCTGCCTGGGGCCAGAGGGGCTAGGAGCTCCCAGGCTGCTGGAGTTTGGGGTGGTGCACAGAGGCCTCAGCCAAAGGGGTGGGAAGCACTGGCTTGTCTTACTGTTCATTTTATTTGAAATTCCTATCAAAATAATACACATACATATTTTTTTCTTTTTTTAGTATATTTTTATTTATTTCAGAGAGAGGAAGGGAGGGGGAGAGATAGAAACATCAATGATGAGAGAGAATCACTGATCAGCTGCCTTCTGCACCCTCAACCTCACCCCCACCCCCTACTTAGGATCGAGCCCACAACCCAGGCATGTGCCTGACCAGGAATTGGACTGTGACCTCCCGGTTCATAGGTTGATGCTCAACCACTGAGCCACACAGCTGGGCTACACATATGTATTTAAATTATCAAATACTATCTCATGCTGCTCTCCCCTCTCCCTCTAAACTCGCCACACTGGCCTCCCTGCTGTTCTCTCACACACCCAGCCTGTGCCCGCCTCAGGGCCTTTGCACTGCTGTTCCTCCTGCCCGAGGTGCTCTCCCATTGCCTCATCCAGGCTCAGCTCCAGCTCACCTCCTCAGAGACCACTGACTATCCAGGGGTCCCACTCCTGTGACTGTGTGTGTCCCATCACCAGCACGGCCCCCACTCGGGACAATCGGAAATGGCCAGGTTTAGTGGTTCGGTTGCTCCTACTGTCTGTTCCGTGCCCTCGGCTACAATGCCAGCTCCAGGAGGGCAGGCCCAGGCCCGCCGTGCTCACGTGGAGTCCGTGTACCCGAGCAAAGCCTGGGTGAAGCAGAGCCTCACTGAATATTCGCCAAAGAAAGACATGAAGAAGGAGGGACGGGGGGAGGGGGACAGGCAGACGGCGCCTTCGCCTCTCTCTTCCTCTGCCTCTGGCGGATGGAGCCCATCCTCACCCACAAACCCAAGCAAGAACGGCAGCTGCTCTTCTGGGCAGCAAGCGGGAGAGGGGCCCTGACGAGCTTCTTCCGGGCCCAGGCCCTTCCCAGCCCCGACTCCGCGAGGCGGCCGAGGGGGCTGCTCATCTAGCCGCCCCGCTGAGATTCTTTCCTCCAGGATGTCAGGACGCGGTGGCTGATGTCATGGCTGATGTCAGGCACATCTGTGCTGGGACCTGGAACCATCACGCTTGACCTTGGGCGGGTCACTTCCCACCGCTGACCCTCAGTCTCCTCATCTGTAAAGTGGGTGCCACCGTGGGCACCTCCCTGGTGCGGTGGAGATTAACTAATATTCAGTCAACGGGCCACCAGTGGGGTCTATTCATGGTTCGTCTGTGCTTGGCAGATAGGGTCCGCTGACAAGTACCCCACATTCTAAAGAGAGGAAGGTCCGTAAGGATCCGATGGACAGACGGGAGGCCTCCATGGAAGGGGAACTGGCCAGGCCCCTGCAGGGAAGACGCGTGGGCAGCGAGCCTCCTCGGAGCCTGGGAAGTGAGAAATGCATTTCTCCTTTCTCTCCCTCTCCCCCGTCATGAGGTGGAAGGGGAGGAGGTGCGCCGGTTACCGAGCCTGATGTGAACTATGGCCACCACTGTCACTTCTACCTCACCTATGGCCACGGTAAGTCACAAGGCCAAACCCAAAGTCAGGGCAGGAACACATTCCTCCTAGTTAGTGGGAGGAGCTGCAGGCGGGCGGGGAGGGGAGAGGAGGGGAGGGGGGTCAGGGCCCCCATACTGCTCTGCTGCTTGGGGCGTGGCCCCTGGAGCTGGGGTACCCTGGGAACCAGGACCCTGGTGGCATTCCTGGCCCAGGGATGGAGAGGGGAGACCCGCTGCTGGAGCCAGGCTCACGGTCGCTCTCGGTTTGCGGGGCCTGGGTGGTGCGGGCCCGCAGAGACCTAGGGAGACCACGTTTCTTCTCTCTGCCCTCAGAGGGCAGGCAAGGCCTCCCTGTGCCCCAGCGGAGGTTAGAGGACAGAGGTGGCAGGACCACTCCAGTGACCCCAGGACCGAGAGGTGGTCAGACTCCTGACCTGAGCCGGGTGGGGCCGCTCAGGGCCACAGGGATCCGGCGGGGCCGCCTCTGCGCCACGACTTTGCGGGGGGGCCCCCATCTGCAGGGACCGCGCGGGAGGGGGATGAGGAAGGTGTGAGGAGCCTGACAGAGCGCCCACACTCCGGAGCTGGGCCGGCCTGACTGCGGGGAGCAGGGAGCAGCTCTGAGGGAGTCGAAGACTGAGATTGAAAACAAGCACCGAGCCTGCCACTGAAATGGGTCATCGCAGCAGCAGGAGGGCCCAGACGCTGTGAGGGATGGAGGGCGGTGCTGGCAGCTGTGCGATAATAAAAATTAGGCCGATGGCAGCTCACACGCACGGTGCTCCTGTCCCGCCAGTGCCGCTGCTTTAGGGTCAGTAACCCCTCGTCGCGTGACAGCTGTACGGTCACGACTGCTGTAAATGTCTCCACTGGAATGATGAGGACGCGAGGCAGAGAGGGTCAGTCTTGCCCGAGGTCCCACTGCAGGAGGCGAGGAGCCAGGCTGGGGCCCAGGCAGTCGGAATTTCAGGTCTGTAGCTGTGCTGTCTCCTTGTTTTTTACAAGTGAAATCTTGGGAGGCCGACACACGAATGGGGCTGCAGTGCTGCCCGAACTGTCACCGTACCCCCTAGAATAAACTGCCTTTTGTTGACCGGGACGAATTGAGAGGAATTGTAACGACAGGTACGGGCAGACAGTTTTAAAAAATTAAAATAAAAAATAAAATAAGAAATGGAACATCTCATGCTTATGCTCCAGCGAGTTAAATGCCCCAGGAAGCCAGTCCCTTGGTGGGTGCTCAAGGAATGTTAGCTCCCGGGCCTTCTCCTCCCACTGACCTGGGCTACCACGCCTGCTCCTGTTGCCATGGCGACCCTCCCAGGGGCCCACAGAGATGTGGCTGAAAGAAATGCACTGAGCCAGGACCCTGCCCCCACCCTGGCTCTGACCCAGGCTCTGACATCTGGATCTGACATCTGGCTCCAACCCTGCCCCCACCCCCGGCTCTGACATCTGGCTCCGACCCCGGCTCTGACCCTGGCTCTGACCCTGGCTTTCTTATCTGACTGTTTGCCACACTGGCCTCAAAATCCCGAGCTCTGGAACAAGGGCATTGGAAGTGACTGTGACCAGAGAGGCTGTGGCAATGCCTCCCGGAGTCTGGCATTCTCTGCCTCCTCAAACAGTTCCTGCTCTTCCAGAGGGGCCTCAGATGGGGGTGTGCATGTGTGTTCGTGTGCATGTGTGTGTGTTCACGTCTGTCTCAAGGGTGGCAGCCGTGTAGGAAAGGGCAGATCTGGAGGCAGGAGGAGGCCACGGGGAAGCCAGGAAAGCTTCACTGTCCACCAACCCCAGACCATCCCAAGACCCAGGGCCAGCCTGGGGGGAGGGGGTGGGTGCTCAGGAAGAGCAGGCCTGGGCTCCGGTCCCCATGCCGCCATGCCGCTGGGCAAACCTCAGGTCCCCTCTGAGCTTTCAGCTGAACGCCCATCACCCCTGGACCAGCAGAAGCCGGGCCTCCAGCACCATGGTATCACGTTAAGCGCCATGTCACTCACCAGTGACTGACACTATACTTTCCGTCCGGAAGACAAAACAGGCTGGGCGCTTCATCTGTTACACACCCCTCGGCCCAGAGGACCAGTTTACTGAGCAACCGCTGCAGCCCAGGCCCAGGCTTGAAGCTGAACAGGCTAACCCATCGTCTCACGCGGTCCTTCAACAGCCCGGGGAGGGACTCGTACTAATTCCACTTTGTAGATGGGGGCCGAGGCCAGGGAGCCCACGTGACTTGCCTGAGGTCACACGGCCGGGCACAGAGAAGGCAGCTGACAAAAAGCGCAGCATCACTTTGAAATATCAAATCTATGACTTAGTATTGTTTTCTGGGGGTTTTCTACATTTCCCCCCATTTTATGGAGGTAGAATTGACTTGGCATTGTGTGTGTGTGTGTGTGTGTGTGTGTGTGTGTGTGTTTAATGATTTAGGGGTGATGCAGGGGGGTTGGCACTACACTCTCCAGTGTTTAGGGGCTGGCCCTGCAGGTAGTAAGCAGTAGCATGTGAACTTGAACCCAGATCTGCCGAGTCTGACTCTCACGGCCGAGGCCTCCTCAGCGAAGACAGACGGATTCTAACTCCCACCAGGCTCCCAGGCTCCACCCTGCCGCCTCAGCACCGCCAGAGGGGCTGGGCCTGGGAGAGAGAAGTCAGCGGCCAGGTCCCCAGGAGCCCCGGACCAGCCCTCTTGCACTTTGCCCACCAGAACCTGACAGAGGTCCTAGGGATCCAGAAACATTCGTGTGGCCACCTAGTGGGCATGGGTCACACATGCGCTGCCCAGCATCTTTTTTTTATTTTAATATATTTTTATTGATTTCAGAGAGGAAGGGAGAGGGAGAGAAAGAGAGAAACATGAAGGATAAGAGAGAATCATTGATCGGCTGCCTCCTGCACGCTCCACATTGGGAATTGGGCCTGCAACCCGGGCATATTCCCGGGCCAGGAATCAAACCGTGACCTCCTGGTTCATAGGTCGATGCTCAACCACTAAGCCACACTGGCCGGGCTGCCCAGCATCTTTTAAATAGTCTCTGTGTCGGGGAAATTCTGTCATTAGGAGTCCATCTCCCGGTGAAGAGGCCTTAATCGGGGCTGGGGCTCTACCACGAGGAGCCGGACTCCAGCCATTGGCCAGTCCCGCCGCCGCCTCTCCATCCTCACGTCCTCTCCCCGCCCACTGCCCTGCCTCCTGCTCCAGGAGTCATATGTGTCTCTGAGCTGACGGTCACAGGAGGCCAGGAGGGGAGTATGCCTCTCACCCTTCGGTGCTGACCAAAGTCCAAATCAAGGGCCAGACGTCCCTCCCCAACCCCATAAAGACACATAGCTGCCTCCCCCACAAGCCATCTTGGAAAGAGGAGGGGTGAGAAGAAGGGAGGCCTTGAGACAAAACGGTTTCCATGGGAGTTTGACAAATCTGGTGTGTAGGTTGCACACTGCCCATAGCCCGGCCGAGGGAGCAAGTGGGGTGTGACATCTTACCTGCCCTCCACTCTCCTGGCATGGAGGACGAGGTGTCTCTTAAAATTCTCACAACACCTGTCTGAAGTCTGAACTTGAACAATTTCATCCAGAAAGAGCCTCTTTTAAATCTGGAGAGAATGATTTCTGGTTAATGAGCAAATTTTTTAAAAATACATTTTCCTGCCACCAGTTTCCCAGAATAAAATGAGGTCAGTTATAGAAACCTGTGTCATGTCAGAGCACACACGGGCACACACACACGCTGGTGCGTGTAATTTTAGTACGTATAGCACATGGCACACAGTAGGATCCTCCCCTCTCTCGACGGCAGGACCCACGTGGCACCTACCGGCCACAGAGTAGGCCCTGCAGTGTCTGGTGATGGACGGAAACAGCTCTGGTGAGTGATGCGGGAGTCATCCGTGTCTTTGAGCTGGGGGGGGCGGGAGGGGGGAGGTCAGACATGCATCGTCATTTTAAGGGAAACCTGTGTGGCTGGCCTTTAACTCCACAACCCTGTCCACAGAGAAACCCCAGGGAGCCTTGCACTGAGGGGCGCCCCCAAGTGCAGCCCCACCTGAGTCACCTGCATACGAGACCAGCAAAGAGCTGTCAAAGCCCCAGCAGAAGCAGACCCTTTGGGTGTGGAGGCCTTCCGTGAGCCAGGAAGCAGGCCTGATCCCACAGGCACTGCTCAGCCCCTGCAGGCGGACACAGGCCCCCGAAAGAGAAAGGGGGGGACCTAGCAGACATGGCAACTCGGGGGCCGCTTCCACAGCCAGTTCAGGTCCTGGGCCTCCGCTGGCATCTCCCCCACAAAGGCCTCCACTCTGGCCGTCAGCAGCCCCTCAGCCAGGGAACCCAGCAGAACCGCGAATCCTACCCAGCGGGTTGGAATTCGGGCTCTGCCACTTTCCAGCTGCGTGACCGTGGGCAAGCCCCCTACCCCTCTGGGCCTCGCTGTCCTTCAAGTTCAATGGAATGGTGACAACTGCCCTGCCTCCTTGGCGCATCAGAATGCGGCTGCGGAATGCTGCCCTGAGCACAGAGGGACTTCAAGGCCCTCGGCACGCGGAGGGCTCCCCAGTGGCTGCGAGGTGACTCCAGGCATGCGGCTCTGGAGCCAGACAGACTACAATTGGGCCCTAGCTTTGCCAGGGACCTGCTGTGCGGCCTGGAGCAAGTCACTTCTCTCTGAGCCTGTCTCCTCCTCCGCAAGTGTTGCACTGAGGCAGCGGAGCCCCAGGCAGGTGACTGTGCCCCGAGAGCAGGCAGGCTCCCCCCGCCCCCCGCTGCATCCAGCATGGGGAGGCAGCAATGCCCGGGCGGGAACCAGTTTTGGAAATACCATAACACAGATCAATAGCACAATAAAACCCCATTTCCTCAGACCTCTGGCCCCTCCCTGGCAGGCTGGGCGAGAGGAAGACAGACGCCTCGAACATCCTGCGGAGTCAGAACCACTTCCATTCGAGTGCCCTTCAGAGGCTGGGTGCAAGGTTCCCATGACCTCGACCACCAGGGGTGCAGGGACCAGTCCAGCGTGGCCCAGGGGAGGGCGGGAGAGCAGGTCTCAGACTCTGAGCCTCAGGCTCTGCCTCTGCAAAATGGGGCCATGCCTTCCAGGGGCTCCAAGAACCACAACGGCATCTGACTTGGCTTTTTGGGGAGGAGTCACACCTCCGGACACATCTCTAGCCTCGGCCCCCCCAGGCTAACTCCAGACACCAATGTGGGCCTGGGCAGCGAGGTCCACTCGTCTGCTCACCAGCCTTAGACACCGCCACAGTGAGGCTTCCCCTGAGTCTCCGCAGCCCCTCGTGGCTTAGGCTGAGCAGCCAAAGGCAGTGAGGCTCGTGCCAGGCCCACCGGAAGGTGTGTGGGCAGGGGCCTGGGGGCACATCGCTACCACAGGTAACAGGGCCTTATTCCCGCTGAGAGGTGTAATGCCAGGAAAGGTCTGGAAGGCCACCCACTGAGAGTTATTAAGTGACTTCGGATTTTTTTCTTCTGTCTTATCTGCAGGGAACATGTATTATTATTTCTATAATAAAGAGGGGAGAAAAGCTCACTTAAATATATATATATATATATATATATATATATATATATATATATCTGTTGACAAAATGCCCATCAATGTCAGGCCTGTGGGCCTCTGAATGTTTTATCTAAATAATTTTCCACCAGCCCCACCCCCATGGCTAGTGCTCAACTCTGACCAGTAGAGATTCCTACGCCCTTCCGAGCTTCAGGCCACACCACACAGTCTCGCCCGGGAGGCTGCATACCCCAAGTCGGCTATGCACCCCACCATCCCCACCTCCAGGGCCTGCGCCAATGAATTAATAGGCCTTTCAAGGTGTTCCCATCTCCAGCAGGGGGCGTGCAGGAGGGAGCCAATCGAGGACTCTCTCATCATTGATGTTTCTCTCTCTCTCCCTCTCTGAAATCAATAAAAATACATTAAAAAAAAAAAAGGTATTTCCAGTGATGCAGACAGGAGGAGCGGGAAGGGAGTCGAGCTGGAGAAATCACCGGCGAGCTGTCTCCGAGGGCTTCTCCCCAAGGAGCTGCAAGGCAAGGCCAGGCATGCTGAGCAGACACAGGACGCGGCTTCATCATGTTAGAAACCAGCAGGACACCGTGGTGTGACTCCAGGCTTCCTCCTGGAAGGACCCACGGGATCGAGTTGGAAAATCCTCATGTTCTCTCTGCATGGAGCACCGGGCACACAGACCAACGCCCTGCCTCCAAGCTTCCATGTGGGTGAGGGCACCAAGGCACCAAGGACAAGAGGGGACACAGTGCCATGGCCCAGGAGGCCCTTCCGTGTCAGGGAGTTTGGGAGGAGCTGGAGGAGCGCGGTCGGCTGGTCTGACAGGGTCGGGGAGACCTGCTTCCCCCAGACCTGGCCCAGAGGTGACTCCAGTGGTCAAACCGCATTCCCCTGATCGCTGTAGGACGAGGCGTGCCCTCCTCCATTTGTCTGCCTGGGACCAGTGCAGCGCTGGCTCCCAGAGACAGGCTGCTGCACTGAAGTGGGAGGAGATGCTGGCGGCCTTGTCTTCTCATCTGCGGTGAGGGAGAGCTCACCGGGCCAGGCTTCTCCTCCAGGCAGGGAGATCAAGTCCCGGTTTATCCCTGCCGCCCCAGAATCCCTGCTGGTAATGTTGCTTTTATTCAACACATCCTGGTTTGGGGAAAAAATGATAGTCACCCTGCCCATTTCCCCATCAAAGCTCCATGGCAATCTTCCACCATCTCCAGGCAACGCCACACCTGTCTTCGCCCTTCCCCACCCATGCCCTGTCCCAGGTGACCACTACCTGCAAGGAAGCAGCCAGTTCCTCTCAACCCTTCCCCGCAGTTCCTGGGCTCCCACCCCATCCCGCTACTGAGGACTCCTTCTGCCGCCGTCTGTCTGCCCACCCCACTGGTCTATGAATTCCTTGCAGGCACAGGCTGCCTTGTTCATCTCCAAGTCCTTCCCGTGGAGCCCAGCCCCTGCCTTATAGAGGTATTTGATAGATGTCTGTTAAGTAAATGAACTGCCACCAATCATGGTTCCTGCCAAGGCCCAAGGCGTCAACCAGAACACCAGCTCCTTCCCTGCCCTGGTCCCACGACCTACAGACATCACACTCTGGGACAATAATGCCCAGGAGTGGGCAGGAGGCCTACTTGGTCCCAGCACTAACCAGCCAGGGGCCCTGGGCCTCCAAGTCCCCAGGATCCACAAAACCGGGGGCTGCCTTAACAACTGCCTCCACAGCGCCTTGCAGCTCAGACATTTCACACTCTGAAGGCTGTAACGGGCCCATCTTCAAGTTAGAAACCGGGCCCCGCAATGTCTACCAGAGGCCTCAAAAGCAATGCGCCCGCAATTTCCTGTCAAGGATTGAACCCCTGGAAACCATCAGAAGACGACCAAGATTTGTACACAAGGATGCTCACCGCAGCAGCAGCTTTTAAAAGAAAGACTGTAAGCAAAGCATGGTGCATGGTGCGAGGGAACACTCTGCCACGAAAGGTCAGATTTTGTAGAACATTTAGTAACGTGAGAAAATGGTCACAATATTGTAAGTGATGAAGAGGTTGCACAACAACAGGAGCTCAATTTTATTTCTACCAGTGGTTTTCTCTGGGCAGTGGGATTGGGTGCCTTTTTTCGTTTGCTGCATTGTTCACGGTCTTCTACAGTTATAGTCAGGAGAACAACGGCTAAGTCAGCCTGCATTGCTGAGGCCAATGGGAGCCCGCCTCATAGAAAACCCCGCCATTACCCTTTCCCTAGCCCCTTCCTCAGAATGCAGACAATTTCTGGGTCTGTCAATGGCCTGAGAACTCATCCAATTCCACCCTCGCTTAAGGCTTGCCCTTGTGCCGGGCCCCTGCAGTGCCAGGGGGAATCGGGCCGGAGATCTGCCAGACCTCCCTCCTGGACACAGACCCTTTCTGCAGGTCGCCAGCCTCTAATTGCACATCTCCAAGGACTGGTAGCTCACTGGGCCATGCCCATCCATTTTGGATCAAAAATCTTTCAACACAGCCCTAGCTGGTTGCCTCAGTGGCTAGAGCAGCTGTGGGCAAACTACGGCCCGTGGGCCGGATCCGGCCCGTTTGAAATGAATGAAACTAAAAAAAAAAAAGACCGTACCCTTTTATGTAATGATGTTTACTTTGAATTTATATTAGTTCACACAAACACTCCATCCATGCTTTTGTTCCGGCCCTCTGGTCCAGTTTAAGAACCCACTGTGGCCCTCGAGTCAAAAAGTTTGCCCACCCCTGGGCTAGAGTGTCGGCCTGCAGACTAAAGGCTCCCGGTTCGATTCTAGTCAAGGGCATGTACTTTGGTTGCAGGCTCAATCCCCAGCCCTGGTTGGGACCCATGCAGGAGGCAACCAATCTTTATATCTCTCTCATATCAATGTTTCTCACTCTCTCCCCCTCCCTTCCATTCTCTCTAAAAATTAATGGAAAAGCATCCTCAGGTAAGGATTAACAACAAAAAGTCCTCCAACCCAGCCCACCTTACTCGCCATGGCCTTTCCTCTATCACCCCCAAGTCCTGTCCAAGGATGGGGCCCACAGACAACAAAACCCCTCCCCTCCCCATCCAACTCTAGCCTTTCTTAACCTCAGGCACAGAGAGCACTCCTTGTCTTCCCCAGCACTCAGGTGAGGAGGATTTATAGCCCAGGAGTAACTGCATGTTAATTCCTTCCTGGAGATGAGTTTCAATCCCCTCCTCAATCAACTCTGAAGTGGGGCTAGCCGGGGTGAGAGGCTGCGACTGACACAAAGGGGCTGCCCCTCTCTCTCTCAAACCCATCCGATGGCTCCACCTCTCACCCCACCATCACCAAAGTGATTCTTAAAGACCTCAGAAGTAGAAGCCATCAGCCCCCAACACCCGCTGCCCCCACCCCCCAGTTCTATAGGAGCCAAGGGCCGCCCTTCCCTTCAGGAAACACCCCTCACTGCCCAGCGGTGAGCAGACCTCTTCCTGCAGGTGTGGTGGTCCCATCAGAATCCACCTGGTCCTGGCTGTCTGGCCATTATGACACCTGATTTGGAAGAAGCTGACCTGTTAGCCCAGAAACTTTCCACTCACGGATGGCTAAGCAAGGCCCAGCCTCAGACACACCCATGCGCCTGAGCCCAGCCACACCCACCCTTGCCCAGCTACATCCTTCCCCTCCCTCCCCGCCCCTCTCCAGCTGCTATTTTCAGACAACCCATCAGGAGCCCACTGAGGGCGGTGCCTGGCTGGCACCCTTGGGAGGGACCCCTTCTCTCGGAGGAGTGGGGCACAGCTCCCCTTAGACTCCCCACCCACCTCCACCACTAGGTTAACTGTCAGCGCCATGAAGTTCCCCTGCTCTTTGAATATGAAAAATGGGAACCCTGTATCCCCACCAGGGTTAGCGCGATGTTATCTAGAAAAGGGTGGGGTGAGGTCAGGCCCTAGCAAGATGGTCCTCCTCTGCCCCTGCATGGTACAAACCGGCCTCCTCTCTCATTGCCCCCCTGCCCAGGGCAGCCCCACCTGGACGCCAGCCCCCGAGGCTCTGCCTGCAAGGAAGCCCCTAACCAGCATTTATAAACAACAACATAAGCATTTTATTTTTTCATTAAGCTTCTTAGTCTCTTAGTATCACAATGGAATGATGAGAAAACAAGAACAAAAAAATCTCATGAGTCTGCCGATCTCTAACACAGAGCAGAGACTTCAAGGCAATCGGGGGAAGGGGGTTGGTAGAAGTGCCAAAAATTCCAACATCACATCTCTCCATAGCCGACAAGGCCGGAGGGGGCAGGGAGGTGGAATGGTGAGAAGGTGGCACTGTCCCAGTGGTCCTTGGCATTTCTGTCTCACGACTGGCGCATGATCTGCACGGAGCACCCGCAGGATCTCCTGGTGCCCAGCCACATGGCCCTCTGCCTACCCAGATGCCCAGGCTCTCCAACCAGTGCTAAGACACACCCTGCAGCCAGTTCTGCTGGGTGGGCAGCAGGAGAGTTGCATGGAGGAGGGCGGAGGGCAGGCCACGCTGCTCAGGGTGTAAGAGTCAAAGGAGTAACCGAGGCTCGTCCGGGAGACAGCTGTGGCGAACAGCTGTGGTGGAAGGCGAGTGGTGCAGGTGGCGGCCCTCCAGGTAGCAGGCAGTCCCTCCGGGAAGCAGGCCACCTAGAGCTTCACAGTGCCCGGGGGCAGGCTGTCGTTGCAGAGTCTGTAGTATCGCAGGTCGTTGACCAGCCTGTGCACATTCTGGGTGAACGAGGGCAGGTCCTGGAAGGCATGGGCACAGCTGCAGCCTGGCCGCACCCAGCACCCCACATCACCCACCCGCCCACCAGCACTTCCACCCCAGGGTGTGCTCGAGCTCCCAAACATTGTACGCAACAGGCCACTTCCACTCCTTTCCGCACCCTGTGAGCGCACAGGCACTGCGGGGAGAAAGATCATGGTGAGGCTGCCCTCGTGTGCACGGCCAGGCTCTGAGGCACGAGGCTAGGAAACCTGCCTCAGTGACAAGGCAGGAGGGAAAGGGGCACTGGTCGGGCTGCCTGTGTATCTCTCCTTCACCGCGTCCTGTCCAGCATGTCCGCAAACTCCTCTTCCCAGTGCTCCAGGCAGGCCCTGCCACTTAAAGGTGACACCCTGGCAGGAGCCCGCCTGACCCGTGATCTCATCTGCTGACCACCACCCATTGGGCCGCAGACTGCAAACCGAGAGGCTCCTCGCAGCTGAAACCCCATACCCTACCAGGCAGCACCAGGAGGTGGCCGAGGTTCGCACCCTCATCTTTCGATCGTGAATACCAATGCCGGACCACACAGCAAATATGAGTAACACCAATGGCTCCCTGTCACAGAGTGGGCAGTTCCATCTGAAATTCCACTGGCCGGGGGCTCAGAGAACAGCAAGGCACTTCCAGCTCCCCTCTCCTCTTCAAGCTGCAGCACAAGGCCTGCCTCTGCCAAAAAGGGCCTCAGACGCCTATTTCCTGGCTCCAAGTGGCAGGTCCGCGCCGCTCCGCTGAGCTCTCAGTGCCCTGGCCCACCTACCGTGGACAGTGCATGCAGGCCTGGAGCCAGAGTGCCAGGCGTGGCCCGCCCCCTGCTCTCCCGTTCCCAAGTTCTGTACCTGCCAACAGAGGGCTGGCCTTCCTGAGCCTGGGTTCACCTGGGAATGGGGTTAACAGGGCCCACGCATCAGAAAGCCAGTGCGCCCACAGCGCTGCTGTGCCAGGCTTTCCACCAGGGCCTTATGAAGGCAGAGACGGTGCCCACCTCCTGCCCAGGCCCTGCAAGGAGCTGGCTTCAACCAGACAGTGAGTGAGTGAGTGAGTGAAGGATTCCTTTATGTCCTCCTCAGGAAAACATACCAACAGGTCTCTTTTAAATCAGTGGCTTCCAAATTCCAACCTGAATTTCCTGGTGGACACAGGAAACCATTTCTGTGTTTTACGTACCCAGGAGCTTCAATACGTGGCTAAATTTGGAACCCACTGCTTTAAATCAAGAAGTTGACTGACAATGCTTCAGCAGAAACTGATCATTAAATATTAGAATTTGGACTCCAGAGCAGCAGTCACCCACCAGGGGTCCGCGGACCTGGTGGTCCATGAGGTCCGAAAGGCTGGCGACCGCTGCTCTAGAAAAAGAAAGGAAACATCCAGTGGCTGAAGTGAACTTTAAGCCCAAGAGCAAACAGGGTAAGTGCCAGGGAAGAAAGACCCCAAGACAAGGAAAACAGGAGCCGAGTCTGAGAAAAGCTGTCCTGATACACATCACGGCCGAGACAAACAAGGAGGATGCAGGGTTTTGCTCCAGCAGGAGCGGCACATCCATCTGAAGACTGAAGGGAGCCCGTAGACAGGGGCAAGCACAGGAGTCACAACCCCAAGGATGTGGGTGGAAGAGATCCCACTTCAAGTGGGAACTGGTCAAAGGCAGAAATGACTTATCCCTTAAGAAAAGCTCCAGGAGAGCTGACCAGGCAAGCAGCAGAGGCTTCCAGCAAAAACGTGGGGGTTGGGGGGGCGTGCGCACTAAAGTGAGTGCTCAGAAAAAGGCCCAGGACAGGAAACGCTGGGCACCAGGTGAGGACAGCCCACCAGACCTTCCCCGGGCAAGAGGGTGAACACTGTGAGGCTCCTCCCAGGACCTGGTAGCAGGGCAGGCCACGCAGAGCCAGGCGGGTGGTCTGGGAAGAGCCGGGGTCCCATCTCTAAGCTGGGGGCCCGCCCAGGGAAGCAGCTGCGGAACGCCCATCTTCCCGCCTGTCTGCAAGTTCGGCCGCAGTGACTCTCAGCCCACAAGGAAACAGCAGCTGGTCAGTGGTGTGCTCGGCGGGGACAGTAAGTACCAAGAAGCCCAGACAGAGCAGCAGGGCTGCCAGGGCCAGCGCTGGGCCCAGTGGCAGATGAGATGAAAACACAGTGCTGCTGAAGCCAACACTGGGGAAAGCACGTACCCCTCCACCCAGGCACAGCGCCGCGTCATCAGGAATGGCACGCGCTATCTTGGAGCCACAGGGGTACAAACCACACAGGAAGGCAGCCTGCCCCTCACGGAGCGGGCACCAGGCGTGAGCCCACACCACCCTCCCTTCAGCCTGGCCTCTCTCCTCACCCGATCCATCTTGAAATTCCGCCCCAGCACATTTTTCTGGTTGGCATCCACGCCATCACAGCCGGTCAGGAACTCGGGGAGGAAGGCTGCAAAGAAGCCGTCAAAGTCCACAGAGGCCATGTTGTAAATGGCGATGCCGATCTCCTCCTGCAGAAGGTCGTGGGACTTGTGGACCAGGACCTGCAGCAGCACGTTCACAAACTGAAACAGCATGGTGGTCCGGAAGATCTTCTGCAGACAGAGCCCAGAGTGAGTGCTGGCCACGAGCGGGCTCAGGGCCCCTGGGCCTCCCCAGGTCCCCGGCCAGGGCCCAGCGCCTTTGATGAGGAACCTTTCAGAGAAATGGGCACTTACCTTGTGGTACAGCTTCTGCTTGGTGTTGAGTGTCTCCAAGTAGAAGAGGTTTTGTTTAAATAGGTGGATGTCAGGCTGGAGAAAGGACTGTCCAAAAGCCTGTCCAAGAAATAAGACCACCATTCTACAAGCAGCATTAAACTCCACCAGGCCAGGCCCTCTGGGCGCCCTTCCCCACGCCAGAGTGGCTCCTTCTGCCGATGCAGGGTAGGGACCTACTATCTCCAGTCTTCCAGCCTGTCTGGTCAGATCTCAGGAATGTCCCCACGTAGTCTTATCTCTTAAGTCCTTCCCACTGGGCCTGACTTCTTTTGGTCTCATTCTACACCTTTGACAGCTTGTTTGGAGGTTCTACCAGGGGAGTGCAGCTACTCGTATACCCTTGACTGAAGACCGGTTCTCTCCTCTGGGGGGAAGGTCGCCCTCTTTGACCGAGCACGCAGCTTCGGGAGGGACGCATATGGGATCGGTGAGGGAGGAGGGGACACCCGCCTAGCCAGCCAGGTCAGCCAAATCAACCGTGGCAATCAATGGGGTGACAGATGTCACAGCCAGATCGCCCTCACATCCTCATCCTACATCTTTTGTAATGAACCTCTGGACTCCTTCAGGAAGACTCATCTTTGAAGCAAGAGGTTAAAAACTAACACAAATTGCTCAGCCTCCCCTCAAGCCAACCACTCAAACTCCCATAAGCCCTCTCCCTGGCATCCCAGGTCTTAGAAACCCAAAATCCTTAGAGGCTCGTCACAACCAGCTGCCTCTGCCTTGGAATTAAGCAATAGCAAATTTTTAAACTGCTTTGCAATTTCTGAGCTGTAAAAGTTAGGACACCCCGCCCCCCACCAAAAAAACGAAACAAAACAAAAAAACCTCACAAAGAACCTTGTGCCAATGAAGACTGGGAAGAGCGGGGCAGGCCAACGACAGGCAGACCAGTCATGTGAGGGACACCTCCTAGAATGAGCCAGGGACGGCCTTGTCATTCTGACCCCCGGCTCCTAAGCTACAAGAAGGGTCTTGTAACTCCTGCTGCAGTGATCTCTATGATGCCCACTGGTTTCCACTCACTTATTTTTCAAGTCAGGTTTACTGAAGTCTAACACAGAGTAAATCCCACCCCCCAACCCCCCCCATCGAGGGTCACCATTATATAATTCTGACCACACCATCCAGTGTCTAACCACCATCACAATGGAGATACAGACACCTCCAGCTCCTCAAAGTTCCCTCTGGCCTCAGGCAACCACTGCTTGTTTCCTGTCCCTTGAGGCCTGCCTCTTCCAGAACATAACAGAATGCAATCATGCCAAGCATGTCAAACTCACAGCTGGCAGGCTGCATGCCGAGGTACGCGGCCCGTTGGCCGCCAGTTTGACATGCTTGAATTGTAGACAGTCTTCTGAATCCAGCTTCTTCACCTACCATAACGTATTTACGTTGCCGTTTGTATAATATGTTCCTTTTTTATTTTTATTTTTTGGTTAATCCTCACCTGAGGATGTTTCTCCATTAATTTTTAGGGAGAGGAAGAGACAGAGACACACTGGTTGCCTCCTGCACGTACCCTGACCAGTGTTGGGAACCTGCAAATGAGGTATGTGCCCTTGACCAGAATTGAACCCAGGACCCTTCAGTCTGAGGGCCAATGCTCTATCCACTGAGCCAAACTGGCTACGGCTGTTCCTTTTTTTTTTTTTTTTAATCCTTACCTGAGGATATGTTTATTGATTTGAGAGCAAGAGAAAGGGGGGAGTAAGAGAAAGAGAGAGGGAGGAAGGGAGGGAAGAGGAGAGAAAAAGAGGAGAGAGAGAGAGAAAAACATCAATGTGGGAGAGAAACATTGATCAGTTGCCTCTTGTATGCCTCTGACGGGGAATCAAACCCACAACCCAGGTATGTGCCCTGACTGGGAATCGAACCCACAACCTTTTCGTGGATGGTATGATACTCCAACTGACTGAGCCCCCCGGACAGGGCCATATGTTTCTTTTTATTGTTGAGCAGCAGGCGCTTACATGCATGCACCGTTGTTTACCCACTACCAGCAACAGATATTTGAAATGTTTCCAGCTTTTGGCAATTTTTTAAAAAGCCTCTATAAACACCTGTGTACAAGTGAGTATATGTTTTCATGTATCTTAGGTAAAATACTTAGAAGTGGTAACTGTTTTCCAACGTGGCTTTTACCAATACTGTCTACCAAAGAAGACTTAAAAAGTGAGGACAGAGGTTAAGAGGAAGGCAGAGGGGACAAACAGTACTCCACACCGAAGCCTGCAGGGGGTGCTGGCGATGGAAGTTCAGGAAATGATTGCAGGAAGCCCAGGGATAGGCATGTGCTTTTCCAGAGAGATCCCCACACAAGGAGTTAGGGTGCAGGCGTGCATGTGTGCTGGTGGGGGGCTGAAGGGTGAGGAAAAGCAAGCACTGAAAAAACAAAAAGAAAACCTTCCACTTCAATCTAGACTCTGAACACAAGTTGTATGTATGCAACTGAGTGCAGAGCAAGGAGAGCACCTGACAGCCGGCCGCCCTGGCAAGGGGAGGCCACCATCTTCACAGCAGGTGTGGTCCACCCCTGACAGCTCGCTCTCTAGGCTGTAACAGTCACACTTGATCTGAGAGGGGGCACCGAGGCACAGGGCAGGGCCTCTCCCAGTTCTGTTCTGGCCAGAATTCTCTCTACAGATGCAGACCATGGGCCCCTCCTCCAGAGACTCCTATTCAGTCGGCTTCCAGTGAAGGAGAGCCCTGTGGTGCTGAGGCCGTGTCATCCCACGCGGCACAGGGAGAGACTGGGGTTCCGAGAAGTGAACGAAGTGCACAGCACTAAGAGGCAGAGCTGAGCTCAGACCGCACTAAGGCTTCAGAGGCGGCACGTGTCGCAGTGGCCACGTTAGGGAGTGGGGCTGAGTGTCAGAAGCCAAGGGACAGGCAGCAATGGACCCAGGTGTCCCGAACGAGGCCTGTCTGTTCTGGGGCCATAGGGCCCCCTCAGCAGTGCTCCCACATTACCTGCATGATGGCACTGAACTGAGGCTCATTCTCCATCTGCTCCTCGGCAGCCCCCCTCTGGACACTGGCCAGGACCGTGGACTTGAAGAAGTACCTCCAGTTGTGATGGAGTATCCGGAAAAGGAGCTCAAACAGCTCAGCCTTCACGTCAGGGGAGGGGCGCTGCAGAGACACACAGAGACCCTCAAACCTTCTTCTCCTGCGGCTCAGGAGCTACTCACAGCCCAGGCCCAGAGCAACAAAAGAGGTCTCAGAGATGCCTGGCAACAGCAAGCTGTCAGCTTCCCACCCACACCCCTGTCCTATCAAGGCCTCCGAGTCAGCAGGTCAAACCAGGAGTACTTCGGCAGAGACAGGGCCGCCTGAGACACAATGCCTGGGTCGGTGCCAAGGGGCCCTGTTCTGATGGACACACTCAGCTTTTCAAGCTCAGAAAAGGCTACTAAATGGAAGAACAACTAGGAAAATGGCTTTTCTATTCAGAAAGCAGCTATCTCATCTGCCATAGAGTCTTGGTAGTTGTTCCTTTTCCCAGGATAAACAACACTGTCCAACTAACCTGCTGATCTTATACAACTGAAAAAGCTAAAGACAAGTAAGAAACCTTAAAGCAGATCTACCCTCCATAGAAAATGGGCTTAAGGGGCGCTCAGGAGCCACAGAAAGCAGCAGCAGAGGGCCTGGGGGAGGCAGAACCTCCAGGGGAGGGGGAACAGCTTGCAGGGCTGACTGCTCTCTGGGCCTGTCTCCTCTTTCATTGGCAGCTGGGATTCTGGGATGAGGAGAGGAGAGGGAGGCGGGCTCAGCAATATTTTCTAATTTGAACAAAAATCTCCAAGTCACTAGAGAGCATGACAGGTCATATTATTCCAGATGGGTCTGGAGAATTCAAAATGATAAGGTCCAGATAGATTTAATTCAGCCGATTAAGATGAAATTGAGACAGAAGGCATGAGCTTCTATGGCAGGAATCCTTACAGGGCCCACGTGTGTTTAATGATGCAAAGCAAGTGGACTCACTTAAGCTTTAATATGGGCAGTTAAAAAGGTTAGCTCTTATTTACGTAACTATTACATAAAATTTAGTTAGTCTACTTATTCTGGATCTTGTCATGCTGTGTCTGTCTGTTTTCCAGGAAGAACAGAGAGCTTTGCTATAACAAGGAAAGCTTTGGATCATTCTGAAAACTTGCCTTGTATCCTTCAGATCATGAATGCTCTTGATAGGAAAAGAACATTCTATATAATAAAAGGCTAATAAGCAAATTGACCAAATGGCGAAATGACCGGTTGCTATGATGCGCACTGACCACCAGGGGGCAGGCGCTCAATGCAGCTTCCCCCTGATGGTCAGTGCACCCCCACGGGGGGAACACTGCTTATCCAGAGCTGGGCTCACAGGATGGCGAGCACAGTGGCGGTGGTGGGAATTTCATGTACTGGGCCTCTAGCTCGTTATGTTTGCTGTAGAACACTATATATTCACCTAAAGTTATAAACTCTCTGCCAGGGAGGCTGATCTTTACCAACCGACTTGCTTACACTAGACTAGTTCTAATTAACTCAGCCAATATAAAAATACTGTACCAAGCTAAAGGCATTCTTTCTTGGAAAAAATTATTTTACAAAAGTAAAATAAAATAACAAATTAACTTTAAAACACAATGCATTTTCCTTACTTCCCCAATCGGACAGGACAAGCCCAGCCGCTTATACCTCAGCGATGATGGGATACACCTGCTCCATGCTCAGGGAGATGATGCTAGGAAGGAAGGGCTTGAACACCTGGCCAGGTTCCTGTACCACCACCTGCAGGATCTTCAGGAACTTCTCGACCACCCGGCAGCCAGTGCTGCCTTCGTGGAGGATGCTCTCGGCTAATTGTTCTCTGCAGACAAAAGAAACCACACAGTAGCCAAGGAATGTTTCTCTGGGACCAGCTTGAAACCAACACTGTGGCAAGTGAAGAAGAGGAGCAAAAAGTCCCACACTTCCTAGCTGGGCCCCACCACTTCTCCTTAAAATTTGAAAAGTGTGGACAACAGGTGTGTGGTTACCTGGTAAACATATTGAGGAAAGTCTGTATGATCTGTTCAGTGAAAGGCACACCCATCTGTACTCTAAGGCCTCGAAACAAAGTGAGGAAAAAGCTCAGCATCTCATCAGTCACATCTAAACAAAGGACAAAGCAAATGATCAGAGGCCTGCACACAGGGATAAACGGAAGCCCCTGGCTTGACAGACTTCCTCTTGCAATCTGCTCTATCATCTCTCTAAGGCTTCCTGCTGAAGAAATTTCCCCCACCATCAGAGCCGGTGACGGAAAGTGGGAAATGATTAGGGACATGCTGAGAAAACAGCTCTGGTGCAGCGAGCCTCTGCTGATGGCTCCAAATAGGAAACGGAGCCTCCCTCGCCGCTCCGCCCCAGCCAAGTTCAGAGTTTTCACTGCAGATGGAGTGTTTTGCACACATACTGATGGAACTATTCAATCGGGTCAACACCAAAGTGCTTTAGCTGTTTCTCTCTATGATCAATAATCCCTGCAGTGGGGGTTAAGTCAGGGGTTAAGTGACTAAAAGTGGACAATGAAGGTGTATTCGGAATGCGTGGCCCTGGGCCATTAAATGCATTAATGTCAAAAAACATGGGTTCCACTTAATGTAGTTTCACTTCCAGATCTAAACAACCATCTTGTATAGTATGTTTCAGCTCCAGCCACACAAACTCTGCTTACAAGAGGCAATCAGTGAATTTTTGCTGACTCAGAAACCCCCAATATCTCCTAAGACTGACAAGACTACCACTGTAACTGCTCTCATATACCTGCTCAGAGCTAGACAGAGCCCATAGTGACAGTGGCAGAGCGGGGTGCAGGGCACCACCTCAAACCCACCTTGCCATATGTGTAAGTAAATAGCATTTGTGGAAAAAAGCTCTCTTTCCTCTCCTATATAATGCCCTGGTACTCTCAGCCATTTAGGTTCCACACTGGAAGAAGGCAAAGCCTTCAAAATAAAAACGAGGCAAGTAACTCAGTGCCACCTGACAGAGGTGCAAGGCCCATGTGAAGGTTCCCTGGGGCCTGAGCCCCAGAACCCCACACAAACCTCACTGCCCTCTGCTTTCAGGGTCAAGGCCTCTACTGCTGACTGGGGGTGCTCTACAGAGCTAAGCAGGGACTTGGGCCCTTGTGCGGCCTGCGGCCAGCTCCTACCTGACTGGTGAATATAAGCTGGAAAGAGGGCCAGGGAGACCTGCACGGATTCCTGCAGTGACTGGTAGCAGATCTGTCGGGACTTGGTGGATTCCCCGGAGACACTCTCCACGATGTCTTCTAAGACACTAAGTGTCTGGTGGATAATCACTTTGGCTGCAAATCAAGATTAAGTTGCATGTTATGACTTGTCTAAGGATTAAGAGTAAGAGGAAACACAAGGGAAGGAGAGGAAATCTGCAAGGGTATTTAGAGGACAGTGACACAGACATCTTGATTTCCTTTCTCTCTCCAGCTCCTCCCCCCTCCTTTTTTTCCTTTCCTTTTTTTTTTTCTTCCTTCTTACTGTCAGAACTCCAGGTGCCTGCTCAGTTTTTCCCTCTATTCTGCTTCTATCCACCAGAAACAAGTCCACAGAGAAGAAAAGATCAAATGTAGCCTCAGGTTAGGTGCCTTAGACTTAAGCCTCTAAAATGGTGAACAAACTGGTGAGAAAACCAGTGTCACAGATAATTACCACAGGCAAGAATGGACACATGCAGATCAAACACTCTCCTTCAAGTCCAAATCTGACCCTCGCCTGGTAATCCACACAGCACCTGCCATGTACATCATGAAATGAAGGAACCTCACTTTACAACGGTGCTGGGAAGCCCTGAAGGGGGACCTTTCACACATGCACCACTAGTTGCAAACTACATAACCAGCAGAAAGAAGGTAAGAATTATCTGACACGGGAGGTCATTTTTCACTTAGCAATTTCATCTGCTTTCAAGAGAAAAAGATCCCTCCCTGCCCCAGCAATAATGCACTAACCCCCACTTGCACCAAATGAGAAACTGCTACAACCTCAAACTCTTGTTCTCCTACAATGAATTTCAGTTCAAAACAACCCTCCCCAGTTTCCTCCTAAAAGCTAATAAAAGCTGTCCTACCCTTCGTCTCTTCGAATTTGCCTGTAGCTTGCTACATTTTTCTTGTTCCATACTGCAATTCCATGCTATTCCCTAATAGACTTGTTTTTCTGATAAAATAGCTGGCTGTTTATTTTTGAGATGACATTATAAGGTATCAGAAGTGGGATCCAAAGGAGACAAGCCCCTGAGGAACTAACAACCCCTGGACTGTGGGAGGCATCGGCTTGAGCCTTTTGTTCTGCCCACTTCCATGAACTGTCTTTTTCCTTTAGGTGAGGTAAATCTGTAAGATGCCAAGCTCCCTCCCTTTGGTTAAGCTCTCTGACTTGGTCTGGGACCTATTTAAAGGTTTCATACTACCCTGGCCAGTGTGGGTCAGGAGTTAAGCGTGTCAGCCTAGACACTGAAGGGTCACGGGTTTGATTCCAGGTCAAGGGCACATACCATGGTTGCAGGTTCGATCCCGACTGCATGCGGGAGGCAACCAATAAATGGAAAAAATATCATCAGATGAGAATTAACCAAAGTAATAGTAATAAAGGATCTATCCTTTCTGTTTTTATCAAGACATTGCCCTTTCTGGTGAGTACTCTTTCTGTTTGGAATTACAATGGCCATTTACTAATTGTTTTAAATTAGTCCACCTTAAGGGGCACTCTTAAAAGAGAATTCCAAACCTCTCAGAAACAATGAAATGAATCCTTTGGTTGGTATGCAAAAGCTTTTAAGAGACAAAGTAACCCCAAAAACAGTTTTAAAAAGGATCCTTACAGCATGCAAATTTTTTTTAATCTTTAATATAAAACTTTGGCTATCTGAACAAGTAACCTTAACTTAGTCCATCTGCCAGAAACACAATTTGGATCCAACTATTCTTTTGAGTTTTATGCCTGAGACATGGCTAATATTTTAAAAAATCAGTCTGTGTCTATCTGTATTGTGTGTGTGTGTGTGTGTGTGTGTGTAATATTTTTCTATCTCTGAATGATATTACCAAAACTTATCTGTAATCTATTTAATGAGCTTTAAAAGATTAAGCATTTATATAAATTAAGTATACTTTCAGAAATATAATCAAAACTAACCCAAATGAATTTCAGGGAATATGTTTGACATTAATGTTAGTTCCAGGTTGTTGGTTTAATTAAAACAGGTATGTCTTTCAAATTATTTACTTTCATTTTACCTAGATTTACTGAAAAATCAAATAAGTTCATATTATCTGTTACAAAATTTGTCAGCAAGGAAAATAAGATATTGGTTAGCTGGTTTAATGTCCAATCCAAGCATAATTGTTAAAAACAAGTAATTTAAATAAATGCAAATAAGGTCAAAATCAAGTAACAGATACTCATTAAATATCTAAATCATTTCCAATTAGATAAACATTAAATGCTAAAAATAATTTTAATCACTTTTGGCATTTTAATTTTACCCAAAAGTTTATTATGAGAAAAAATATACTTCCAAAAATTTTGACATGTATTTATAACTGTTAATTTATTACTGGATGCTAATATATGAAAAACAGTCACAACTGCCTGCTTTCTACTTTTCACTGAAAAGCAAAGATTCTAAATAGTTTAAAAAGTTGGAAGAGCTAAAAATACAAATGAACCAAAGAGAAAATGTTAACACTTGAGTACTAAGCACTAATTCTGCACAAACGATGAGAATCGATGCTGAGAGAATGCAGACAAAGCAGCAGGCAGCCCTTTGGAAGAGAGGCAGTCATGGAACTCCCATGAGAGCTTTCTCCTACTCCAGAAAGACTTACTGCAACTTCCTGGTTTTCAAACTGTGGTGAGAGATTATTGCTGAGTGATGATTAACATTTACTTAAATAGAAAATATACATAGTATCTACATTTGCCAATATTGACAAATGTAAAATACATATCTTTAATTCTATCTATAATTTACAGATTATAGATTTATTATCTATATATAAATAAGAGAATAATTTTATAAAATGCAAAATGGGGTGCATGCATGGCATATACTGAAAATAAAGACATGTCCATTTATTAAACTTATTTGTTACTTATGGGCCATAATATACACTGTATTTCTTGCTATGAAATGACCCCACATGTTTGAAAGCCACTGCGCTTATACCACAGTGAACTGTGCAAACCAAAGTGTCTGCAGCGGCTGAAAAGGCCAATACACGAACAAGCACCCTTTCTGTCCTGTCACACACAGTGCTAACTCAAGGCCAGGCTATAATCGCTCTTTGATAGGCTCATACTCTGTTGCCTTGTCTTTTTAGATTTGTAGCCAGGCAGTAATCTTTATTTAAAAGAACTTCCCCATTTCTTATAATTACTTGCATGGCCGGAAATTCTGGTGGTGGCTTCCAAGATATTTATAGGTCTGCCATAACTTTAGTTGTTGTCCCATCTTTCAAATCTTTATTCTCCCTACTCAACACGGAGCAATACTCTTCAGCAGTAATATCGGGATCCTACTGCCCCTGACTGTTCTAATCATTCCCAGTCTCACAAAGACATGAATGAATCGCATACTATAATCCCAAAAAGCACGTGGCTGATTTTAACTATATTATGTAGTTTACATTCACTTAAATGTAACTCGAGGCAATTATGCTATTCTCTAAGAGTAAGCCTGCAATTATTCTGTAACAACTGCCTTGCATCGTTTCTTTTTTAAATATGTCTTTATTGATTTTTAGAGAGAGAGGAAGGGTTAGGGTTAGGGAGATAGAAACATCTATGAGAGAAACTTCATCGATTGGCTGCCTCACATGCACCCTTACTGGGGATGAGCCCAAAACCAGGGCGTGTGCCCTGACAGGGAATCAAATCATGACCTCCTCGTTCATAGGTCAATGCTCAACCACTGAGCCACAACGGTGGGGAACATTTCTGTTTTCAGATAAGCTTTATAAGTGTTTAAAATTGAGGTCAATTTGAACCAAAAAATTGAAATTATCAGGGAAAAAAACGTGTGTGTTTTTTTAATAAAACTAGAAAATAATAAAGAAAGAAAATGACTATGAAAAAATAGGATGTGTATTTTCAATGAAAGAAGGTATGAGGAATGGAGATAACAGTTTTTGGTAAGAGGGGAAGAAAAAGTAATTTTGTCCTGAAGTAAAATGAATGTTCCAAAATAAGAAAGAAAAAAGATAAGACATAACCTAATTGGATATAAAAAATTACAGAAAGTTTATGGATAAGAGATCTTGAGAAAGGAACTATATGTGGTGACTGGAGATTGAAATTCCAACAAGCTACTACAGTTTGCTTGTCCCGATTGCAATTGTCTGCTATTCCCAAATAAACCCATAATGCTGGTACGATAATCGGCTATTTTACTTTTGAGGGTGACAACATCTACCGCTGATGTGTTCAGAAATAAAATGCTTAAATAATGGGCCTGTGACCACAGGTATAATTATTATTATGCTGTATACGTTGACAACATATACTTCTAACAATACCCTAAGGTGTGAGCTCACTGGATGACTGCATACAGCGCACGGGAAACAGCCAGGGGCCAGCAAACAGCAGCTCAGAAGAAAGAGGGGGCCAGAGGACCCTGGATGTGAACGGCAGATGATCAGCAGATGGCTACACACGCAGGCAGGATTCTTGTCTGTCCACTGAGGACAGCCAACAGCCCCCCTCTGCAGGGTTGCTGTGACAATCAGAGACAAGGTTCAGGATAATCCTGGCAACGCGTCTGGTCTATCAGAAGGCCCAGAGGAGAAACTCTGTCATCATCCCCCAGCACTGATGGGGAGCTCATCCCCTAGACACTGCTTCCTCAAGAAGCCCACTCGGCTCAGCCTGAGCTCAGCAGCCTCCACCCTGGCACAGCTCCGGGCTAAATTGCCAGAGCCGCCCTGCACCTGGCTGTGCTCTCTGGATCGCCCTGCCCCCCGAACTCACCAGCCTCTGGGGACTGAAGAGGCTTCCAGGGAAGGGTACACAGAAAGAGTCCATGCTCTGGAGGTTGATGAAATCGGGTTTGACTCATGACTCCTAGATTCTGAGTCTCGGTTTCTTCATCTGAAGATGGGGACAGATACCACCTCCCTCACAGGACTGAGCATGACAGAAGATAATGACCTGGCCCAGTAAAGGCAGTTGGAAAGAAAACAAAAGGCACACCTATAGCACTGATCAAGGAGCCACTCACTCACAACCACTACAGCACAGGGACTTTTACCAAGCCATGAAACTGCCCCTGGGACAGACATTTCCCCAAGAATACAAAAGGAAAAGGAAAGATGTTTAGGAGAAAAGGCCGAGTCAAGAAACCCAAATCTGATCCTCTGATGTGTAAAGAAATTGAAGTAGGAACAAAGATTTATTCCCAAAAATGTGCAAGTAAAAAACTGAAAGTATCATTAAATATATTGTAATAGAATAGGTATGTAACTTGTGGAACTTCATAGGCTATGATATTATAAAGCGATTAAAAACAATCCTTTCTAGAAGAGAGGGCAATGTGTTAAAGAGCAAGGGACTGGGGCCATGCAGACCCATCTGACTTCTGCCCCCCAACTCCTTCTCTTTGACCCTGAGTAACCTACACTTGCCATGTGGGGCAGGGGGGCACCTTTACAGCAGACTGGCAGGCAGTGCCGGAAGCAAGCATGTCCAACTTGCTGCGGGCAGCATGTGGCCCACAAGGAATATTTTTACGGCCCAGCCAATATAATGGTATGTAAGAAACGTTTTAATAAAATTTCATAACTTAATTTTTACAATATCCTGTTATACATAATTAATAATAACGAACTACAACGTTCGCTAATGACTGATTACTATAGTCACGTTGCATTCATTTCCCTTACGCGCACTGCTTAGAAGTGACACTTATTTCCACTCATTTTGTTGTCCAGGACGTATGAGCAGGCGCACCATTTCTCTCCACTAATACTTGCAGCGAATATTTTAGCAGCCAACTGCCACATCATTAGTTTTGGACTGACTTGTTTGGTGTGCGCAACAGGAAATATTTTGCTTTTGGAGAACAAGAAAAATAGGATTGTTTCCGTTACGCTTATTAATTTGTGCATTTTATTAAAATGTTCTATTATTTTATGTTAACGATGATTCATTTATTTCAGCCCTTTGTATTTAGCATGTCTCTATCGAAATAAACCTATGTTTCTATGAAAATCAAAGCTTTTGGGTTTTTTTGTGGCCCACATAAACTTAAACCTTGTTTTTTTGGCCCGTGTTAGCCTTTGAGTTTGACATGCTTGGCCTGAAGCAATGCAATAGGAACTACGTATCACTGTAGTATTTCTGCCAAAAATTGCTGGAAGCAATCAGAACAAGATTATAGTATATTCCACCAAAACAACAGGCCTGGACTCTTCAAACATGTCAATGTCATGAAAAAGAAAAAACAGGAATGCTTTTCTATATTAAAATAGACTAAAGAGGTATGGAAACCAAATACAACACATGATCCTTGGTTGGATCCTGGATTTTTAAAAAGCAACACAGGATATTTTGGAAATGACTAGGGAAAATGTGGACACGTCTATAATATAGATGACATTATTATAACAATGTTACACAGCTTGGTTGTGTTATGGCGTTTTGGTTATATATGAGAATATCTTGTTCTCAAAAATAAAGTTTAAATATTCAGGAATAAAATGCCAATGTCTGCAACTTACTGTAAACGGCTCCGTTAAAAAAGAAAAGGTATGTGTGAGTGGAGAAGAACACAAATGTGGCAGAATATTAACAACTGGTGAATCCTGATGAGAGATACACAATTGTTCATTTTCTTATTTTTTCAACTGTCTGTAGGTTAGAAAAATTTTCAAAGTATAAAGTTGAGTTAGAAAAACCTTTCCAGGCCTTCATTTGGTCACTTGGAGAATGAGGATAATAAGCTATACACCCACAGGACTATAGGGAAGACTAAATGAAATCATGTATATGAAGTTCTCAGCCCACACCTGGCACACAGTACACACTCCACAAATGCTAACTATGTTTTTAATTATGCTCATTGTGGAAATCATTAAACCTATTCAGCAAATATTTCCAGCACCTGGTGGCATCACACTTTCCACCCGCTATGTGAACCATGGCCATACGTCCTGGACAACAAAATGAGTGGAAATAAGTGTCACTTCTAAGCAAGAGCCCTTCCTAGTGTAACCACAAACTGAAATGGACCCTTCATAAGCCTAGGTTCTGGAATGAGCAGAACCTTCCCAAACCCTGACCCACGCTGGACATGTGGAATTAACATGAAACAAGTGTTTTCCTGTAGTAAGCCACTAAGCTGTGGGGATTATTTCTCACACATAGCATAACCTAGCCTATGCTGACTGATGTAGGATGTAAGATAAAGTAAGAAAGGAAGACCATTAAACTTGATAAAGCACCGTTCTATAGTAGCTGTATCTTACCCCTGAGCAAGTTACTTAACCTTCCCATATCTTAAGTTTCCTCATGGATAAAATCAGGATAATTCACAGTACCTAACTCATAAGGCTGATATGAGAATTAAATGAACGTAAAACACTCAGGATCAGACAAATACCAGACGCTGACAGCCGACGCTGGCACAGCCGAGATTTGCTGATGGAAGATCGCTAAGGCAGGCAAGCCCTTATGCAGTGTGCCCTCAGTAATCAGCCATTCATCCAACAAGCTATTTAAAATGGTTACTTTGTAAAGTACTAAAACTGGTGAGATTTAAGAGTTTTTCTTTTCTACTTTACACTCTTCTAATATTTCTTTTTATTTTCTTTATTGTGTCCTTATCCCCCCACAGTCCCCCTATCCCCCTAATATTTTTGAACAATGAACATATATGTTAGTGTTCCTAATTATAAAAGTAATGTTTTTTAAACGATGAGTGTTTATCATTTCTAACATTTCACATGGCATTTTTGTTAACATTCTATAAATAATGTTGCCCAATAATGTCCCATTGTTTTCTTATTGTGAAAACAGACTGCATTTTTAAGTAATTATTTCAGGAAGATTTTTCAGAGAAATCTGATACCTTCTACTGAAACTATTAAGTTCTCCTGATTCATATTTTTCTGCCTCTAATATAAACAATCAACTAAAAGTGCCATTTGTGAAGATACCAAGCTCTTTCAACGCCTCTGAAATATTTATTTGGAGAAAGGTTAACGACAGTTTCACGTAATTCTTAAACTTTTCCCCCAGTGTGTATAGGTGAATTGCCCTGCTTGCTTATGCAACTATCTGAAATGGATCAATATGCTGCAAGATTTTTTTTTTAGCCACAGCCCTTCAATAAACATTTTCCTTATTTTTTACATTTTAAGCAAGAGAAGGGGCCCAGCTGGTGTGGCTCAGTGGTTGAACACTGACCTATGAACCAGGAGGTCATGGTTCAATTCCCCATCGTGGGTTGCCAGCTCGATCCCCAGTAGGGGGCATGCAGGAGGCAGCCAATCAATGATTCTCTCATCATTGATGTTTCTATCTCTCTCTCCCTCTCCCTTCCTTTCTGAAATTAATAAAAAACTTTTTTCTTTTTCTTAAAGAGAGAGAAGGGGCACCCTGCATTCAGGAAACAGGTCCAGTTGATGTGTTCACTGAATTCACAGGTCAGAGGGTTATACCCCAAGTCTGACTCAGGAACCTCAGGTGCAAATCCCATCTGCTACAAAGGAAGGACAATGCCTGCCCTATCGATCTCCCTGGGATGTCCCTGCCCAGGGGCCACTTACTATCATCCAGGGGCATCTTCCTCTGAGAGGCGACAGCACTGGGTTTCAGGTTGCGATAGTCCCGGGAGAGTGCGAAGATGAGGTTGGCATGGTTGACGGAGCGCATGGGCCACTGCTGCTCACTCTCTGAGAGGTTTGCGCATGGAAGCAGCAGGATGTTGGAGAGGGCTCGGCACACCAACACCTGAGCCTGGAAGAGACCCCAAAGGCATCCATGATGAGAAGTTCAAGAACAACAGTCTTTAGCACCCACTACACACACACTGAGCTCAGGCTCCAGGCTCCTTTCTTATAACGTGTACCTGGGGCTTTGGTTCAACTCTGAGGGAACCCTGGGAGGAAAAGAAAGTGAAGCAGTAATACCAATTTTGGATCTAGCACAGCCGAGGGCCAGCCAGTCTCAGTAATTACTGTGGTCCTGGAAGCATCACGGACCAGACCCTGGCCTTCACCCGTCTCTCTGCTGCTGGCCTCTGAGCCCTCGGCAGCGCTATCAGAGCAGGCTATTACTAATAAGAGGGTGCTGGTCCGAAGCAATTCGTTCACATCCAGGTGCTCTTACCTAACTGCTGTGACCCCCCTCTGACTCCAGCCTTGTTTGTTTGTTTCTACACGTCTAAACTGAGCTTCCTAGGACTTTAAGAGAATATACTTATCTGAGGCATCTCAACCCTCAGAAAACAAACATGTAACAATAAAAACAGACTGTTTAAACCAAAAGATTGCAAAGGCTCTCACAACACCAGCTAAATCTCTAGCTCTCAAAGCAGCATAAGCCTCATCTCAATAAATAAAAAAAAAGCAGCACCAGCTCTGTCCCTAGGAGGCACTTTTTATGTCTGGATCAACACAGTGACTGCCATGATGGGGAGGACGTGACAAGAGAGCAGTGAGGCTGCGTCCGTGCCGCACGTGTAAGAAAGCCGTCTGTGGTGGCCTGGCCTATGACGTCCGGGTGCAGAAAGAATGGCCAGACTCTTCTTCCCCAGCCTCCCTGAGGCTGAGCTGCACGACTCCAGTGACTCCAGGGTAACCCTGGGCCTCACCTTATCAACAAGTCGCTGAGCAGAGGCATCGGTGATTCTGTTGAACACTTTCTGCACTGAGGGGATGCTGATCAGAAAGATGGGCCTCACAGTGGTGGCCAGTGAAACCAGCAGGTGGCACGCAGATAGCAGCAGCTTGTCTTGGACCTGAAAAGGGAAGAGGACATGGCAGCCCCCTGTATCCCCTGAGATTGTATTAGAAGAACCTTGATGAGGCAGCCACAAGCTAAATATAGTTCTTGGCTGCCAAATTGTACCACATCGGCTCTATCTCAAAGGAGCTTTCCTATGCTGATGCCCACCACAAAGGCATCTTCTTGCCCCAGCTGGTTTGGCTCAGTGGATAGAGTGTCCACCTGCAGACTGAAGGGTCCAGGTTCGATTCTGGTCAAGGGCACATGCCCAGGTTGTGGGCTCAATCCCCAGTAGGGGCACGCAAGAGACAGCTGATCAATGATTCTCTTTCATCATTGATGTTTCTATCTCTCTTTCCCTCTTCCTTCCTCTCTGAAAATCAATAAAAATAGATTTTTTTGAAAAGAAGAAATTCCAATAACATTCTTTAAAAAAATAAAAGGCATCTTCTTTACCATGTCCACAGCTCCTGCCTTCCAGCTAGGATCACCATCTCCAGTTCCTCCTGTTCATATTCACCGGCATCTTTGAACTCAGGGAACCATTTGTTCACTATCACCTCTTAAATCCCATGGTAAGCTCCTTGGCATTTCATTAAAATAGCTGCAGACTATTCGTCTCACTCCTCTTGCTCCAACCAAGCCGAGATCTCTCTCCACCCCCACCTTGGCACTCCATCTATCATGCCAGGCTCTCCTACTTCCTTTATCTCAACATGCCAATCAAAAACCTGATTCAAGTACCATAATGGAACTTTTCAGATTAAAAAAAAGGAAAACTTTTTGTAGACAAGACCTAATGCTGATAAGACTAGGGTGAAAACCACACACAAAAGAGTCAAGGACACATAGAATGCTTAGGAAATAAATCCTATATAATGGAAGGGTAATATGCAAATTGACCCAAATGGCCGAACGACTGATCGCTATGATGCACACTGACCACCAGGGGGAAGACGCTCAATGCAGGAGCTGCCTCCTGGTGGTCAGTGCGCTTCCATAGGGGGAATGCCGCTCAGCCAGAAGCTGGCTCATGGCTGGCCAGCACAGCAGTGGTGGCAGGAACCTCTCCTGCCTCCGCAGCAGTGCTAAGGATGTCTGACTAATGGCTTAGGCCCAGGCCTAAGCCGTTAGTCGGACATTCCCCGAGAGCCCCAGACTGCCAGAGGGATGTCTGACTGCCAGCTTAGGCCCGATCCCCAGGGGAGCGGGCCTAAGCCAGCAGGTGGACATCCTCCAACGGTTCCAGAATACGAGAGGGCGCAGGCCAGGCTGAGGAACCAGATTTTCGTGCACTGAGCCTCTAGTATTACTATAATTTCCTAGAAGCACAAAACCTTTAACACGATAATCCCACTTATTCTAAGGAAATTACCTAAAAAATAAAGTTACATTCATAAATACACGCTTTTCAGAAGTATCTGTAATGGCTTTTTCCAAATGGCGGCTATCAGCCCTAGCTGGTTTGGCTCAGTGGATAGAGCGTCAGCCTGCAGACTGAAGGGTCCCAGGTTCGATTCCGGTCAAGGGCACATGCCAGGGTTACAGGCTCAATCCCCAATAGGGGGCATGCAGGAGGCAGCCAATCAATGATTCTCTTTCATCATTGATGTTTCTATCTCTTTCTCCCCTCTCCCTTCCTCTCTGAAATCAATAAAAAAATAAATAAAAATTTAAAAATAACTAAAAAAAAATGGCAGCTGTCAAACGTCCAGCAATGGCTATTATGAAACATACCCTGTGTGGGGTATTTTTTATAAATTACAATTATAAACACAATAGAAACTTATGAAAAATAATACATTATCCTATTAATAGTGGTACAGAATGCTATGTATGACTAAAACCATAAAAAAACCCAAAAAACAACAAGCATGTATACCCTCAAATAATGCAACCTGATCTTGCTGGAGGACAACTTAATAGAACCTATCAAAGTTTACATGGATATAACCTTCAACCCAGCAATTCCACTTGTAGCAACCGATCCTACAAGGATATAATTTCCATCAATAAGGAAATTATAATCTATCCCCACTACAAAACACGGGGCAGTTTGAAAAGCTGAAGCTGCTTTATACATGTAAGTCTCCGAAGCATACTGTTAAGCAAAAGCAGCTGTATCTCCAGCTAAATACAGACTTTCACTTGTGTATGTAAAAAGAAACATCTCTGAAGGATACACAAGCATAGACAGTGCTTACTGGGGAAAGGGAAATGTTTTGGAGGAAGAGATTAAAGAGTACCATCACATTTCAATCTATAAATCTGAACCATATTTTACTTTTTCATGTGGGACTTAGAGAACTAAAAATATAAAGTTATATTTGCATTAAGTGGTTTACAACTAAAAAGGAACATGAAATGGCATGTGTTATATTTCAGTGATATGACGAGTCTACTGCTCTGTAATATTTTGATTGGATAATAAATGGGTACATGGACAAGACAGACTCAGGTAGATAACAGGTGTAGCTTTAACTGTTTCCAGACCTTGGTGCTGATTAGAGGTGTGACTGCATCCATGGTCGTGGAGATGAGTGTGACAAACTGCTGGGTGTTCTGCCGATGCGCTTCACTGCAATACTGTGCTAACCAGTGAGAGTATGCCTGCAGGGCGGCCAGGGACTGGGCATGCCTGCAAAAAGGAGAGAAGATGCGATTTTAAAGGTTAAAGTCAAGTATATTAGCATTAAGTATTTCCATAGAAAGTAAAAATTCCATCCACTGCATTTACTGTTTCAGGATCTGTCCAACCCCATGGAAATCATTTACTTGTTGATATCAAACCTAAAAATTAAAACTCATCATCTAAATCTTGCCATCAATGCCCAGAATACAAAAGGCAGTTAGTAAATGTCTATCAGATCTTATTTAATCTTTCTCTGACACATGTGAACATCCCTGAGAGAATAATAAATAAAAAACAGAACCAAAGAACTTAAGTGATAATGTGCTGACTTTGGGAACTAGTAAAAATGTAACATCCATAGCTACAGACCAGGCTGCAGACAACTGCCATGTATGAGAGCTTTGTAAGTAAGCTTGACCTAAGATTCTCCATCAGATCATATGTTCTATCTGGCCATGGGACAACTCAAATTCTGATTTTTCTAATTCTATCTTTCTTTTCCTGTTCATTAGCTGGCATTCTTCTGTAAAAAAGAGCTTTCCCTTCCCATCTTTTTTTTTTTAGTATATATATTTTTATTGATTTCAGAGAGGAAGGAAGAGGGAGAGATAGAAACATCCATAATGAAAGAGAATCATTGATTGGCTGCTTCCTGCAAGTCCCCCACTGGGGATCCAGCCCACAACCCAGGCCTGTGCCCTTGACTGGAATCGAACCTGGGACCTTTCAGTTCGCAGGCTGATGCTCCATCCACTGAGCCAAGCCGGCTCAGGCCCCATCTTTTTTTAAATCACTGTAGATGCATGGATTCTTATATTCAAGGTTATAATCTATTATCATCTTATTCTTCCTTGATCAAATTATCAAGTCCAGCTGGGAGAATCCTTTCAAGCTAATCCCTGTTTCCCTTTCCTATGTTCCTGACATTCACTGAGCACTTCCCTCCTTACTGACTCAGTAAGATTTTCCAGGATCATCCTGCCCCAAACTCGGAACATTTCTCCAAGGAGCGCTGGTTCCTTTTAGTGGAGAATGTACCTTAGAAACCAAGAGCCTGGATACTAGGGGTAGCAGTGCTACTGGGGGTTCATTGCTACTAGGATCTTTCAATGGACAGCACTAGGACAAAGGCATTTTAAAATCAAACTTAGCATCAACAATTACAGGGCAAATTGACCTCAACAACCTCCAGACAAGATACAAGAGGAAGGACACACCACCACCTATGTAGTATTCTTGCTAAAAACGTTTGACCTCAATCAATTACTATAGTGGAAAGACAACTGGACAAATCCAGATTTTAAGATTTGCTTTAAAAAATAAATTTTAAGGGCTGAATCTCCAAAAGGTCTCTCCCTCTCTCCCTGCCTCTCTCCATTCCTCTTCCCTGCAACATGCACAATTGGGAGAAGTGTTCTAGATTATAAGAGACAAATTTAATTTGTGATTCATAATTAGTTAGGTTTTAAATAAAAAGAAAAAAAGGAAAGGGCATTCCTGGGGAAATTTGAATATGGAATATATAGACATATATATGTATATGTATTCTCTCTTTCAAAAGTACATGATATTGCTGTATCCATGAGTTTTTGACTGTTGATAATCCTATATAATAAAAGGGTAATATGCAAATTGACCCTAACAGCAGACCGACCAGAACAACTGCTCGACCAGTCACCATGAGGCGCACTGACCACCACTTGGTCCCTTTCCCCAGCCGGCAGGCTCCCATCACCTGATGGCAAATGGGGAACTGAGCGTGGGTGGCAGGGGACATGGGCAGTGCCAGGCCAAGGCCCCTGCCCCGAGGATCACCCCACACACAGAGGGTGACCAACGGCGGGGGCAGGGCCGGTGAACAGGCAGAACGGCCGACTTCTTGATCCCTCCCCCGGCTGGCAGGCTCCGATCGCCTGGGGAACTGGAGGTGGGTGGTGGCTGGGAGCAGGGCCAGCTGCCGGCATCCAGGGAAGATGGCCCTGATCGCAGGCCAGGCCTAGGCACCGTACCTGTGCACAAATTTCATGCACCTGGCCTCTAGTACTATTATGGTTATGTAAAAGAATGTCCTTGCTACTAGAGGATACATGCTAAAGGACTTCTTGGTAAGTGACATATTGTCTGCAATTTATTTTCAAATAGATCACACAAAATATGTATGTGAGCACATGTGTACACAGAGAGAAAGCACAAGTAACAAGGGCAAATGTGGCAAAACATTTATAATTGATGAGTCTAGCTTAAGAGTTTAAGAGTTAATTTTATTTTCCTGCTGCAGGTACTAAGTACCTTAAAGTAAGAAAATACAAGTGTTGAGGCCTGGCCAGTGTGGGTCAATAATTGAGAGTTGACCTATGAACCAGGTCATGGTTCGATTCCCGGTCAGGGCACATGCCTGGGTTGTGGGCTTGATCCCCAATAAGGGGGGAGGTTGCAGGAGGCAGCCAATCGATGATTCTCTCTTATTGATGTATCTATCTCTCTCTCCCTCTCCCTTCCTCTCTCTGAAATCAATAAAAACATATAACAAAACAAAAGAAGAGAAAATAGAGGTCTTGCGAATTTAAAATCCATAGTGACCAGGTAGTTATTTTGTATTTAGAACCCATTGATCCCTTTACTTAAGTTCTGAGTACCAAAAGTAAGGAGGAAGGACATCAGAGTCTGCCTTTTGAGTCTGAGAATTTCAGTCTACCTATCAGATTTGTAGAGCTCTTAGAGGCTGAACGAAGGGACTTACAACTTCCTGAAATTGTCTACAAGGTATTGTGTTTATGAAATTAGCGTCTTTCTCAGGAAAAACTTCACAGCTTTCTTTAAATTCTCAAAAAGGAAAGCAGTATTTTAAAAAATGTAAACCACCATAATAAAAAAGATTCCCTTTCTATCATTTACCTAATTTATAGCTCAAGAATGTTCTAGAACAGGGGTCAGCAAACTTTTTCTGTAAAATCCAGTATAAATATTTTAGGCTTTGCAGGCCTTATACCCTGTTCACAACTATTCAATTCTGCCACTGAAGTAAAAAAGCAGCCACAGACAATATGTAAATGCATGGGCATGGCTGTGTGCCAATAAAACTCTACTTACAAAAGCTGGTAGTGGCCCGGATTTGGCATCAGCCATCATTTGCCAGTCCCTGCTCCAGTCTAGAGCAAGCCTTCAGGGCAGTGTGATCTCTGGGATATGGCCCATCTCTCGTTCCCACTCCTCTATCCCAATGATTTTCAACCGACATGCCAAAAGGACTTCTAAAACATGCAACACCTGACTATTTTAGTCAAGGGCACTGACCTCTTTTCCTTTAGATTGTCAAAAAAAAAAAATGACAACAGCCATCTGGTGTGAATCAAAATTATACTTTTGTCAGATCAGCAAAATTTTAGTAATTTTAGTAATGTTTATATGTGTCATGAGATGAAAAAGGTTGAAAATCATTGCTCTATCACTTCTATGTGTCACTTTCCTAATGGCTTCCCACCATCTATAAAGTTTCTCATAGTGTGGTCCATGGATGTCCTGTTTCAAAATTACCCAAAGTCCTTGTGTAACATGCAGATATCTGAGACTATGCTGTCTTCTGTCATCAGTCTCTGAAGGAATGTGTTCCCCAAGGAACTCTTTTGTACACTGGTTTTACCTACTGTTCCATAGGAGATTAATGGCATTCAAGGTGTTTCCACTTTAGTACCAACATACCTATCAGCCTCATCTCCCACTACACAAACTGCTCACCACCTCCCAACTGTGTGACTCCCCAACACTGTGTTGGCTTGTGCTGTTCTTTCCTCCCGAAATGCTTACTCCTAGCCTCTACTCCCAGGTCGTGTCTGCCGGATGAAGTCCTCTTACTCCAACCACCCCTGCCCCCATGTATACAATCAAACAACCTTTCTCTCTTCTAGGTTTGGAAATGGGAGTTTCACTCCTTTTCAAGGCAGGCACTACTGTTTCTTTTTATCTATAAAACTAGAGGCCCGGTGCACAAAAATTTGTGCATTCGGGGCGGGGGGGGGGGGGGTCCCTTAGCCTGGCCTGTGCCCTCTCGTAGTCTGGGACCCTTCGGGGGATGTCCACCTGCTGGCTTAGGCCCGCTACCTGGGGGGATTGGGCCTAAGCTGGCAGTCAGACATTCCTCTGGCAGCCCAGGAGCCATCGGGGGATGTCCACTTGCCAGCAGGGAGCAGGCCTAAGCTGCAGTCGGACATCCTTAGCACTGCTGAGGAGGCGGGAGAGGTTCCCGCCACCACCGCTGTACTGGCAGCCGTCAGCCTGGCTTGTGGCTGAGCAGAGCTCCCCCTGTGGGAGCGCACTGACCACAAGGGGGCAGCTCCTGCATTGAGTGTCTGCCCCCTGGTGGTCAGTGTGTGTCATAGTGACCAGTCATTCCCAGTCGTTCTGCTGTTAGGGTCCATTTGCATATTACCCTTTTATAATATAGGATAGAGGCCTGGTGCATGGGTGGGGGCTGGTTGGTTTTCCTGAAGGGTGTCCTGGATCAAGGTGGGGGTCCAGGTAGGGGTCCTGCTGGAGTGCCTGGCCAGCCTGGGTGAGGGGCTGAAGGCCGTTTTCAGACTGGCCACACCCCCTATAGGGTGGGGGTCCCCGCTGGAGTGCCTGGCCAGCCTGGATGAGGGGCTAAGTGCTGTTGTCAGGCTGGCCACACCCCCTTCAGGGAGAGGGGTCCTGCTGGGGTGCCTGGCCAGCCTAGGTGAGGGGCTGATGGCTGATTGCAGGTTGGCCATAGCCCCTTCAGGGTATGGTTCCCTCCTAGGGTGCCTGGCCAACCTGGGTGAGGGGCTGATGCCTGTTTGCAGGCTGGCCACAGCCCCTTCAGTGTGGGGGGTCCCCACTGGGTTGCCTGGCTAGCCTGGGTGAGGGGCTGAGGGCCGTTTTCAGGCTGGCCACACCCTCTTCAGGGTGGGAGGTCCTGCTGGGGTGCCTGGCCAGTCTGGGTGAGGGGCTGATGGCTGTTTGCAGGCTGGCCAAGCCCCCCAGCAGGGACCCTAAACCCATGATGGTATGGCCAGCCTGGGTGAGTGGCTGATGGCTGTTTGCAGGCTGGCTACAGTCCCTTCAGGGTGGGGGTCCCCGCTGGGGTGCCTGGACAGCCTGGGTGAGGGGCTGATGGCTGTTTGCAGGCTGGCCACAGCCCCCAGCCACCCAAGCTCCCAGTGGAGGCTGGCTGGAAGCAGGTATCTGGGATTTATTTATCTTCTATAATTGAAACTTTGTTGCCTTTAGCGGAGGCCACAGCTGGCCAGGGCAGGCGGGAAGCTTGGCTTCCTCCATCGCCAGGGCAACCAAGCCTCCTCCTTGCTCCAGCTCCCTGGCTGCCAACCGCCATCTTGGTTGGGTTAATTTGCATATAGTCACTCTGATTGGCTGGTGGGCGTGGTTTGTGGCATAACGAAGGTACAGTCAATTTGCATGTTTCTCTTTTATTAGATTAGATGATTTGGGGCTGGAGGACATTTCCTGAGAATACAAACATCTAATTCTGTACTTACACATCAATGAGATCAGGTTTCAATACTGATGGCACAGCAGTTTCAATGTTGTACAGTTTTATCTGAGATCCATACAGAGTGACTTTGACCAACCTGTTGGCAAAAAAGCAGGTAAGAAAGGGGAGGCCAGGGGATTGTCAAGGGCGGGGGGAAAAAAAAAAAAAAGGACACATATGTAATACCCTTTGTAATACTTTAAGCAATAAAAAAAAAAGAAAGAAAAGAAAAAACGTGCAGCTTATGGACTTAAATAACACAGATAGACAGGTACCAACAAAGGTCTAAGAATAGAGACCAGACCTTCAATCTTATCCCAAAGATATTATCTGAGATGTGCACAAAGATTTTTATACAAAGATACTAACAAAACCATTATATATAGTATCAAAATTTTTGAAAATAATATAAATATCCAACACAGAGAATATATTCTGATTACTATATACAGTAAAAATTATTACAATGGAAATTTGTTATGTGTATTTTACCACAATAAAAAAAATTTTTTAAACATAAAAGTTTGCCCTAGCTGATTTTGCTCAGTGGCTAGAGCATCAGCCTGTGGACTGAAGGGTTCCAGGTTTGGTTCCAGTTAGGGGCACATGCCTGAGTTGAGGGCTCAATCCCCAGTGGGGACGTGCAGGAGGCAGCCAATCCTGATTCTCTCTCATCATTGATGTTTCTATCTCTCCCTCTCCCTTCCTCTCTGAAATCAATAAAAATAATATATTTTAAAAAGTAAATGTTTCAGGTGGATAGATATATGGTAAAGAAAATGTAGCACTGTAGAATTTAAATGATGGGTATATGGGTCTTCCCTGTATAACTGTTCAGTGTTTATGAATATGTGAAAATATTCATGATAAAATTCTGGGGTGGGGGGCAAGAGTTTCTAGAATTAAACAGGTATTTTTAACTTTAAGCACAATTATTTCAGGAGCAAACTGCTGAACCCACTGTTGCCCAAGGGCTCACTGTATAAAAGGAGCATGAACTACAATAACTAATGGCCAGCTCTACTGGGAAGTAGAAATGCCTCTGTCATTAGAGACAGACATTCCTTTGAGTCAAGGGGAAAACTGGAGACCTGGCTGAGTTCCCTCTGTGCCTGCTCTGTCAGAAAACTGAGCTGGACGCCAGGGAGGACAGTGTGTGCTCTTCTCCCTCAATCCAATGGTACAGGGGTTCCCCAACTCCACTGGCATAAGGAGCAACTGGGGAACTTGTTACAAATGCCAGCTCCCTGGTGCAACCCCACAGCCCGACTACGCAGTTGTAGGAGGGTCTGGAAACATGCATCTTTGAAAAGCACCGAGGCTCTGGTGCATGTGGACCATAATCTGAAAAATCTCTCAGATGCAGAGAAAAACACAGGACTTTATTAGAAATCCAGAAGCTTGACCACAAATTATTCAGGGCTGGGGAGCAGACAGAAAGGGGGCATCAGTCAAGAAAGTGAGAGTGAAAGAGCCGAGGGCTTCCAACCTGAAGTCCTGGGAAGGGTGCAGGTGATCACTGGAAATCAGAACGGCGACTCCCAGTAAGCAATGCACCAATGTGGACCTGGTATCTAATGCTTAACTCTTCCAGTGTCTTTACATTCACACAGTAGATGTACAGTTCACTGGAATTATGTATATTGACATTGTGCAGCCACCACCACTGTCTATCTCCAGAACTTTTTTTTCATCTTTCCAAACTAAAACTTGTACCCATTAAATAACTCTCCATGCCCCCTTAGCCCCTGGCAACCATCATTCTTTTTTCTGTCTCTATGAATTTTACTACTCTACATACCTCATATAAGTAGAATCATACAGTACTGGACTTTGCATTCTGTTTTTACATTACACAGCATTCTTTAATGATGATCAGCACTAAAAATTGACTTCTAGATGTGTCAATATTTCTATTTGGCAGGGTTTAAAAAAATTTTTTTTTATTGATTTTTAGAGAGAGGAAAGGAGAGAGAGAGAGAGAGAGAGAGAGAGAGAGAGAGAGAGAGAGAGAGAGAGAAACATTTATGTGAGAGAGAAACATCAACTGGTTGCCTCCTGCACATGCCCCAACTGGGGATAGAACCTACAACCTGGTTATGTGCCTTGACTGGGAACAGAACCCACCACCTTTTGGTGTATGGCACAATGCTCCAACCAAGCCACACTGGCCAGGGCTGTTTAGCAGTTTTATTACTAGGTTTGTTTTATGTAACCTATAAGTTGAAACACTGCTAATCACACTGGCTATTAAGATCATAACAAGGAGCCTTCTCTCATACTTTATTTTAAATTGAAGACAAAATAGCTAAGTATCTTTAGAACTGAGCTTACAAACCTAATCGGTGTAGGAAGATATATGTGTAAGGATCTATAAAATAACGATTCAGGATCTATGATCAATCATCTCACTATGAAGTTGAGATGACTGATATCATTCGTATATATATTCCTCAAGTATAGATTTAAAACTATAAAATTTCAGACAGAAAGAAAGACATGTTCTATCTGCGCTAACAACCATCACTGGAAATAGGCCTAATGCGAGAGGAGGAAAGAGGACTCCAGAAGCAGAAGCTCTGTGGTTTGGAAAGAGCATAGTTTTTGGATTCAGGAAACTAGTTAAAGTCCAGGTGCTCCCTTTCATGATCTGTGATCTGAAGCAAGACACTCACCATCCCTGGCCACAGTGTACTCACAGATAAAGTGACAATATTTGTCCCTCAAAGTATAGAATGAAAAAAAAAAATGTGCAAAAATACCTTTGAAAATGTCTTACTACCGTATGCTGCTTTTATTAACTAGAGGCCCAGTGCATGACATTCATGCACCGGGGGGGGGGGGGGGGGGGTGTACATGGGAGGGGTGGTCTGTCAACCTGTCAACCCGGCCTGCACCCTCTCATAGTCCAGGACCCCTCAGGGGATTTCCAACTGCTGGCTTAAGTGAGGTGGGAAGGTACCTACCTGTCTGCCAGTCAAACCTGGGAACAAATTAGTGGCCAGGATGGGCATGGCCACTGCAAGCATATGATACCTGAACAGGCTTACGGGAGTGGGACTAAGCCAGCAGTCGGACATCCCTCAAGGGGTCCTTAGTGCTGCTGCAGAGGCGGGAGAGGCTCCCGTCACCACCACTGCACTCGCCAGCTGTGAACCCAGCTTCTGGCTGAGCAGTGCTCCCCCTGTGGGAGCACACTGACCACCAGTGGGCAGCTCCTGCATTGAGCATCTGCCCCCTGGTGATTAGTGTGCATCATAGTGACCGGTCATTCTGCTGTCCAGTCGATTTGCATATTAGCCTTTTATTATATAGGATAATGTTAATCTGGATTTTAAAGATTTATTTCAAATTTTTAGTTACCTCTGCTTTTAATAGTTAAAAAAAAGCTGGTATGCAGGTAACTAGGCTTGGAGTTTGACTCCTCCCTCAGGGTGTTATCAATGACATGGCTACTGGGCCAGTGAAAGCCCCAGGTGTCTTGACTTTGGGCTGGATCCATAGCTATAGTTTTGATCTGATCAACTCACAGGTTCCCTGAACCACCTATCACTTAGTATTGAGGGTATAACTTCTTTTGGAGGCTTTTTGTTAATCCTCACTTGAGGATATTTTTCCATTGATTTTTAGAGAGAGTGGGAGGCAGGGAGGGGGAAAGAGAGAGGGGGTGAAGAGGAAAGGGAAAGAGAGAAAAAACATCAATTTGAGAGAGACACATTGGTTTGCCTTCTGCACTTGCCCCTACCGAGGTCAGGGATCGAATCTGCAACCCAGGTACGTGCCCTTGACAGAAAATTGAACCCTAGGCCCTTTGGTGCACAGGCCAACATTAACCACTGAGACACACCAACTAGGGCCAAGGGTATGACTTTTTAAGTGTAGGATTCGTGAGCATGGTGGTAGTGGGGAAGGGGGAGGAGGAGGAAGAGGAGGAGGAGGAGAAGGAGCGGCAGGGGAGAACTAGGGAATATAAAATGGTCCTCAAAAGCTGCAGCTGTAAACCCTCTGCGGTACCCAAGGGGAAGGAGTAATGAAAGGAGCCTAGTGGAGGAAAGGTTGGGAAGCACCTCTCAGGTCAGGCTTGAGGCTGCCCAGGTTTAACTCCTTAGGACTCTAACAGGACTAGAAAAACGAGTCCTACTGCCACAGGACAGAGGAAAACCCCACCTCTGCCATCTGGCTGCCTACCTGGATAGTGTCTACCACCTGCCTTTTATTAACTAACAGGGCTTCCTAATGCCTCTCCATCTTATGAGGAAAGACATGAAGAATGACCTCACCTGGTTTCTTTGGAGGCTAATCCTGTCTTTGTACCTATTACAAGTTCTTCAATGAAATTATATTTTTTATCTGCCACATGCTAGGCCCTGTGCAAAGTGCCTTATCTCATTCAATTCTCCCAATAAACCTAAAGATACTGTCCACTCCATTTTACACATAGGAACTGAAGTTCCGAGAGGTCCAGTAATCGCTCCACATTCTCCTTACACATGCCGAGCCTTGACTGACCCAGCACCGGAGCAGAAGCTGGTACAGCTGAGCTCTGGAGAGGGAATGACTCCATGATGTCACCGCCAGCCTACCTCTCCACGACTGTGAGGGCATCGTTGAACCGCGCAGCAAACATGTCTCCAGTGAAGTACTCAGCTAAGCGGCCCACAGCCTGCAGCAGGGAGCTCAGGTCTCGCAGGGAGCAGTGCAAGCGCCGGCAGTCGTTCTCCGCCGTGATGTTCAGCCTGTGTCCTGGAACAGAGCACCTCAGACAGGTTTTCAGAAAGAACATGCTGTGGCTGCCAGACAGACAACCGCTCACCCAGGCAATCTACATGGACTAAACCAACTCTTGAAACACACACAGTCTGCTTCCTGGGACTGAGCAGGGAAACCAGACCCACATGCACTCCAGAGCCAGAGGGAGGGACAGACAGCAGAGGAAGACAGACGGACAGCCAAGGAGGGAGGGTAGTAATGTGCACCAAGCACCTATCTGATTCCTCCTGACCCTGTGAAGGACTGACGCCACCAATTTTACACACAAGGAAACATCCTCAGGGAAGTCTGGTAACTTGCCCAGCCTGAGTCACATTTCCAGGACAGAGCAGGTGTCCTAAGCTCAGTCTAAGCCAGCGGTTCTCAACCTGTGGGTCGCAACCCCTTTGGCGGTCAAACGACCCTTTCACAGGGGTCGCCTAAGACCATCCTGCATATTAGATATTTACATTATGATTCATAACAGTAGCAACATTACAGTTATGAAGTAGCAACGAAAATAATTTTATGGTTGGGTCACAACATGAGGAACTGTATTTAAAGGGCCAGAAGGTTGAGAACCACTGGTCTAAGCAATTGCAAATCTGCTTGCCTTCGCACACGGCCCTGTCATAGACCATGTCTCCGGGGCTGAGAGGGAGGATTTGTCCCTGCTCAGGACAGCGTGCACTCAGCACTACACCCAGATGGTTGTAGGAACGCAGCACGGAGTACAGAGCACGAGCTGGGTTCAGAGGGCAGATTCCCTGCCACTCGCTGGCTCTGTGCCTCAGTGAGCCCTTTTGAGTCTGTTTCCTCAGCTTTAAAATGGAAAAAATGCTACTATCTAATTGACTATTATAAGGTCTAAGTTAGAATGCATTAAATAGACCCTGTAGATTATAAACCATTATTCAATGTAATAATTATGAAAAACAAATATTTTTCTAGGGCCTGAAACTTATTCTGCAACATAATTTCTTCAAACTAAGCAAGGAGGATGCAAGGTGGAGGACAAAAACATCCTCAATTCAGCAGCGCCCTTGCTCCTCGGGCCCCTCTACTCACAAACATCCACAAAAACAGTAAAACTGTCAAGGGGAGGTCTCTCAGTTTGATTAAGCCCTCCCCCTCCCCCTAGAATGAAGGAGGGAGGAGCAGGAACAGCGAGAGCTTGCCCACAGGCACCTGCAACCCTACACACTTCTCAAGCCTGCGCCCTCTGTGGCCACTTCGGGTTTTTACTCCAGTAGGAGGCAAAAGCCTCAGAGTGACTAGCACCAACCCTCCTCCCGCAGCACCCCACAAATGTCTTCCTAGAACCCACACAGCTCCCTGAGGCAAGGCATCAACTCTCTCAGGAGACCTTCCCTCTCTTCTCCAGACAGAGAACCAGCTTCCCTCCCCTCCTGCCTTCCTCCAGGGATAAACTAATGATTTACAAGTCTTCTGACTATCAAGTCCTTCACAGTGAGGGGCCACGCCCAGTGGCGCCCAATGTCACACAGTGCCTGATGCATCACAGGTGATCACAAATGTATACATGAGTTCAATACAACCAAACAGAGAACAAGCTAGTGCTAGACAGAGCAGGAGAGGGAGTCTCTGGAGCTCAAATCCTCACACTGCCCTTGGGAACCGTCCGACTCACTGCAGTAATCAAAGGTGATCATGGATAAGTAGCACCTGCGGAGAGGAACCCAGCAAGGCCGAGCACCTATGAAAAAAGTGGTGGATGAAGTAGCAATGTGATACCTCAGATCCTACACCGACTTCCAAGTGACCAGGCTGGGCCCAGAGCCTTTGACGGCCCCCACGGGAGGATAGGAGCCTGGAAAGGAAACGCTCTGGCCGGGGCACTCTTTCAGTGGGTCACACCCAAGGAGCAGAACAAAAGGAAGAGGCAGCTCAAGGAAGGACCTTACAAGGAGAGAGCCAGTGACAAAGGCCAGCTCCCAGGAGCCCCCAGTCGCCTGTTCCTCCTCCTGCACTCCCCATGGAGATGAGTGCCTCGGTGCGGAAGACAGGCAGCCCTGGACCATGGGTGGGCGTCCAGAAGAGTGAGCAGCTCCCAGCCCAAGCAAGAGGAGGACCGCCCACACTACCAGCTAGAGGAGCCCGTGGAACACACAGGAGGAGATATTTCAGTCATGCTGGGTCACATGAGAGGGAACACGGCCCCTCCCTCCTCATCTCCAGGTTAACAAAAGGAGCAAAATGATACTCTTGAATGTCCAGAGGTAACCGACTCCCAGGGTAAACTTCTAAAACCTGCTGTTCCTCTGCACAGCAGCCACTCCTCAGGGCTCTGTGGGAAATAAACCCTGATGAAAAACACACCCGGGCCCGGCTGCAGTGGCTCAGTGGTTGAGCACAGACCCATGAACCAAGAGGTCACGGTTCGATTCCCGGTCAGGGCACATGCCTGGGTTGTGGGCTCGATCCCGAGTGGGGGCCATGCAGGAGGCAGCCGATCAACGTTTCTCTCTCATAATTGATGTTTCTATCTCTCTCTCCCTCTCCCTTCCTCTCAGAAATCAACAAAAAATTTTTAAAGAGGAAAAAAAATTTAAAAAACATCCGGGAAGTGGACGTGGCCATGGTACAGGCCCAAAAAGAGAGGCCAGCTCAACATTCAAAGAGCCACATGGGCAGGTTTTGAATTAGTATAATAGCCCCTCCCTTTCCCTGTATGCACCTGTCTTCATCTTCCACTCCATCTCCCACCAAGTTCTACTTGATCACTAGTTTTCAACGTATTTGTTGCACTTAATATCTAGAACTAGGTACCCTTAGGTATACCTAAGAACTAGGTTCTTAAGTATTTTAAGTATGAAGAGAAACATTCTGTCTCTCTTCGGCAGCTTAAAAGTAGTATGCCCAGTCCTGACTGGCATAGCTAAATGTTTAAAGCGTTGGCCCAAGAATTGAGGGGCTGCAGGTTCAATGCCCAGTTAAGGGCACGTACCTGGGTTGCAGGTTCGCTCCCTGACCCGGGTTGGGGCTCATGCAGAAGGCAACCAGTCGATGTGTCTCTCCCACATCAATGTTTCTCTCTCCCCACTTACTTCATTCCACCCTCTGAAAAGCAATGGGGGGAGAAGGTATTGTTCGCAGGCCTCCCATTCTTCCCCTCTGCCCCCAGCACTGCCCCGTCCCTCCTGCCCTTCAACCTCTTCCTGGACACCTCCACTGGATGATGAAAAGCCCAATCCCTCTTGAGAGAGACTTCCAACTTTGAACAGCTTGGTCAAAAACACGGGATCCCGGCTGGTGTGGCTCAGTGTTTGACTGTCAACCTATGAACCAGGATGTCATGGTTTGATTCCTGGTCAGGGCACATGCCTGAGGCTGCAGCTCGGTCCCCAGTAGGGGGCGTGCAGGAGGCTGCAGATCAATGATTCTCTCTCATCATTGATGTTTCTCTGCCTCCCTCTGCCTTCGTCTCTGAAATCAATTAAAAAACAAAACACAACAACACGGGAGGGAAGTCTGTCTCCATATAATCCCTTCTCATTACCCTGTGTCCTACCGCCGGAGGGTAGAGCACAAAACAAGCCTAAGCCTGGCGACATAATACGTTCTTGGAGGGGTGTGAAAACAGGGCGCCACTCCTGCAGAATCTCCCCTTGGCTGAAGTACACGCCCCGGGCCCCTTCCATTACCCATGCCACACTCCTTCTGAGAATCCTTGTCTTCTGGGCTATTCCCCTCTAAACCTCCCTAATCTGTCCAACAAGGAACAATACCTACAAGAAAAAACAGCTTGGAACTGCTGTGTGTGTTTTATTAAACTACTAGAGGCCGGTGCACGGATTTGTGCACACTGAAAGGAAATTAATTGGAAGAATTATTTTAATATCGCTATTCACCCTTTCTCTATAATAGAAGTGTCAACCAAATTCACGATCAACAATGACAGATGGAAACACACGCAAGTGGTTAGCGCCAGTGAGAGCTTTATATGTATCGCGCATGCTTGAGTCAATTTAGCCTTTTTAATATAGAGAATAAACTCGCTTAATTAGACCTGCTTTCTGATTTAGCTAAACTTTTTCCAGCCCAGTGAAGCACCCCAACTTCTCTTTCAGGTAATTGTCAGGAACACAGCAGTAAATATCAACGCGAAGCAGATTATTATTATAGATCATGCAGGAGAACTAAGGGTAAAATATTTAATTACAGCAGTGTTTGACTATATTCTGCGCAGTGAGAAAACCTGAAGTTATTTTCAAGGTCCACCATTCTTACTTCTTTTCAGCCAGGTCAAGTTTCTAAACTTTCTAAATCTCTGTTTTCCGGCTAATGAAAAGAAAAGAGGATTCTACCACGTCTCCTACTCCAGGACTTCTGTGAGGATCAAATGAGATGAGACACAGGAAAACACTTCACAGACATATGGTTAAAGTGTAAAATGTTTCCACCTGGTTATAAAGCAAGTCATATTCCTGGGTTGAAGAAAACAGGCTAGTCGCTAGGGAGAGGAAGCCGGGCATTGTTATGTGACATCATTACCCGGCGCCCACAGCCACCGTTTCCGGGCTGGGCTGTGGGCTGCATTTTGTGCCATGGGGTCTTGGCTGCAATTTGGTGGGCTGTCGCTCTGGGGTGGTGGTGGGGCCTGTGTCCCACTTCGGGGAAGCCAAGTGTTAGTTTGTCGGTGCCAGGTCCGTGGTGCCGTTTCTTTCTAAATGGCCAGTGTGCATCACCGCAGCTCCTGCATTGAGCATCTGCCCCCTGGTGGTCAGTGCACGTCATAGCGACCAGTCAGGTGGCTGGAGGGACACTTAGCATATTAGCTTTTTATAGAGAGAGAGATAGAAGTTTGAACCATATGAAATTGCTGACATTTGACCACTTCTGACCTAACAAAACTGCAATTCCATATAATTCAACTTAACATATATATGCCATCTAAGGTGCATATTAATAAATCTGCACCTGCTGTTTCCTGCTCTGCCTGCATGGCAGACAAACACACCAGCAGTAAGCACCACTAATACAAATCCCCGCCCGCCCCCAGCCTAGAAAGTGCACACCATCACTGCCACCGCACTGCGCAAGGCGCCACCTCAACTTGAGGAGGCAGGCCAGGGTTCCCACTGGGAAAAGCTATTCAGATCCACCCACATTTTCTTCTGTTCGGCTAAGGTTGGATTTCTCCCCAGTACCACAGACAGCTGCAAAGTGGGACCTTTAGGAGGGAACAGTGCTACATACAGGTTTTCGAAAGAAAACGTCACAGCCACACTTAAGTCCTGTCTTCCACAAACCAAGGCCCCCTGAAGCTGTCCAGATGCACTGTAAGCCACATCCAAAGAACAGCTCCCTGTCAAATCACCGCCCTGGATAAAATCCTCGTAATTGTTTGTGTAATTCAGTCCTCTGTTTGAGGGGGCTGGGGAGGTGGAGGTGTGAAAATCAGTATTTGCAGTATTCTGCCCCAAGAGAACAAACGAGTCATAAATGAACCCCAGGGAAACAAAGAACAGAAGTCCAAAAATCTTTTATATTCTACATGAAGCAATCCATTAGGCAGGAAAGCCTGCATGGCTAAACAGAAAAGCTAACGGGGTTATCACTTAAAGCAGAAATACCACTCCGATGAGGGAAGATGTCATTGAGCAGTGGCATAGCCAGATACATACAAAACAGATATTTCAGGGCCATGTAAGGACACAAATGCAATACAAGGGGCACACTCACCAATGAGAGGTTTCTCAAACTACCAATGGTGGGAAAGACAGACAGCGAGGGGAGGGCACCTGAGGGGTGAGAGGGCACCTGAGGGGTGAGAGGGCACACAGTGACCCATGTGCTGTGGCCACACACTCTCCGTGAATTTTACTGAGGAAGTGGAAGGAGGAAGAAGTAGAGTAAGAATGAGACTCCCATCCAGACGCTAGAACTAAAGACTAGCTAGATAAATGGGAATGAAAGAAGAGGGCCATCGAAGAAAGAATACCATGGTTTCTGTTATGAGGCAATAGGCTAACTAGTACGGCATAGCATGAAGGTTATTTGAGGCGTGAATGGCCATGGAAACTAGGGACAGAATGTACTCAGAGTCCCACTTTTTAATAGCCTTTGCACTGGAAACTTGGCTTTTGAGCCACTTAGAAATGAGGAAATGCTTCATCATGGGTAAGAGAGCTCATTTTAAAATAAGAAAGCAGTATTTCTCTGGCCTGAGAGGTTTGTCATTGGATTACACACTAAGGATCAGGCTAGGAATGAGATTTCTAAGTGATCTGGAAGAGCCAAGCGCACTGTGAAATTACCAGGAAATGGGCTTGAATGAGAGCAGGTATATGGTATTTTATGTACAGAAAAATAAATCAGATTATCTGTCTTAGAAAAGCAGCTTTAAGTTATCAGCTGTGTCTCAGAAAAAAGATTTAAAAATCACTGCAGCTGAAACCGGTTTGGCTCAGTGGATAGAGCGTCGGCCTGCAGACTGAAAGGTCCCAGGTTCGATTCCGGTCAAAGGGCATGTACCTGGGTTGCGGGCATATCCCCAGTAGGAGATGTGCAGGAGGCAGCTGATAGATGTTTCTCTCTCATTGATGTTTCTAACTCTCTATCTCTCTCCCTTCCTCTCTGTAAAAAATCAATAAAATATATTAAAAAAAAAAAAATTCACTGCAGATTTTAACCTGAAGACAAATTCAGTATAATGTAAAAAAGTCAGCTACAATTCTAAAAGGGAAACTCAGGGATCAATCTTTTATTTTTGGGGGGGGGGAAGGGGGGAGTAGGGGGGAGATACATGCTCCATATTTTTATTAAGATCAAGAATAATGTCTTCAGGATACTGAATACCTTCTAGGAGAGACAGCCAGGACAGTTTTCCCAAGAGTGAATTCTGAAAAAATCTGTAGCATTTGTACAGCTAAATGATTTTCATTAATATTTTACAGGCATATTTTACAGGCATGTTTGCTTTAAAAAGTGGTCCTTTTTTAAAGTTCTATGTAAGCTGTCCTTATCCTATAAACAAAACCAGGGCCTATACTTGGGACATGCCAAGTCCCATCAACCTCCTGGGGCCCAGTGAATTATTTGGAAGCTAATATAATCATGGAAACAAGCCGTCACAGGCCACCAAAAAGGGCAGTCTCAGAAAGAGACTCCCATGGAGGCTCTGCCATGAATAACAAGTTTGCCCAGAAGCTGGGCTGCACTTCAGGCATCTCTGTGCCAGGCTGAAACAACAGTTACACGACAGAGGGGCTGCAGGCCAGGGCCAGGCATGACTCCTCTAAGGAAAACACTGTCAAATGACTATAGGAGATGGGGGGGGGGCGGCACAGGTGTGCTTACAAACACAATATAACATTCAGCTGACATAATGAATGTCAGATTTTAGTTAATTCAATTTTTTATCATTCCCCATTACAGCATCTGAGACTAACACTAACAAGCTATGTGGCTTTGGAAAATTAACTTATCTGAACATCACTTTCCTCCTTTGTAAAACAGGAGTAACTAGTATTAGTGCTTACACCTTATAGAGCATGAGAGAATTATATAAGACTAGTGGCCCAGTGCACAAATTCATACACATTGAAAGGAAATTAGAAAAAATATTTTAATATCGCTATTCGCACCCTTTTTCTATAATAGAAGTGTCAGAGATGAAAGAAAATTAGTAAAATGTATATAAAAATAATATATAAATAAATAACATGACAGAACAAAGACATGACATAAAAACAAAAACATGATATAAAAACAACAAAAACATGATATAAAAACAACAGTGCTAAAAACCATGACTGATAAATTGATTAAACTTATTCTAATATCTCCCTGTGTACCACATTAAGAGTAAAAACAGCCCTGACCGGTTTGGCTCAGTGGAGGTGTGCAGGAGGCAGCTGATCGATGTCTCTGGCTCTCTGTCCCTCTCCCTTCCTCTCTATAAAAAATCAATAAAATATATTTTTTTTTAAAAAAAGAGTAAAAACACTTTCAGAGTGCTTGACTAATTTCCCTTGTGATGAAGTATTTACAACTTTAACTTTAACATCACATGCTCTTCGAACTCAAGAGAAAGCAACATATAACTGACCATGTCCAAAAACAGGTTCAGGTAGGAATATTCCTACTCTGTCTAGAGTTTGTCCTGTGATTTATTAATAGTCATAGCAAATGCTGGCATCACGGGAAACTGTCTTCAAATTAATTTAAATGGGAGACCAGTGTCAGACGGGGACAAATCAATTCTTGGAATCAGAACAACCTCTCCTTCCACAGGTCCTGTTAATATTTCAGCTTCTATTATGTTAGGTCACAATCTTTTGATAATAAATCTAGTACTATTACAAAGACTCCATTTACTATTAATATTTCTCAGTAGCATTATGATTGCACCGACTTTCAATTTTAATTTATGACACAGCATTCCTGAAGGAGTAATACTATTAAGAAATTCGATAGGAGCTTTATATGTATTGCACATGCATGAGTCAACATTTATTTTTAAACTGCGAGTGTGTGTCATATGTACCAGTCGGTCAGTCAGTTGGTCAGACAGTCGGATGGTCAGTCACTCAGCCTTTTAGCCTATATAATAAAAGGCTAATATGCAAATTGACCAAACAGCAGAACGACTGGTCGCTATGATGTGCACTGACCACCAGGGGGCAGATGCTCAACACAGGAGCTGCCCCCTGGTGGTCAGTGCGCTCCCACAGAGGGAGGGTCCTTAGCCAGAAGCCAGGCTCACAGCTGGCCAGCACAGCAGCATTGACGGGAGCCTCCTGTCTCTGCAGCAGGACATCCCCAGAGGGGTCCTGGACTGCGAGAAGGTGCAGGCTAGGCTGAGGGACTCCCCTCCCCCAGCCAGTGCATGACTGTTGTGCACCAGGCCTCTAGTATATATAGATAACATAAGCAAACAATATAGTGCCAGGTACATAATGCGTGTTCTACAAATGAAGGTTATTATTACTATTAATAGAATAACCAAAAAAAAAAAAAAAATGCTAACCCTAACCCCAAATAGGTAAAACATGTAAATGGCAGGCCAGAGCCTTTTCCACTAGCTATGGCCAGAGGTACCCACGGCCGCTTACGCCAGGGAAGCTAGCATTTACTAGCATCAGGGTGCTCCACCATTGTTTGCCTGCTTTGAGTTGTTCTTATGTCCTACTGGATTCTAAATACCAGAGAAGAAAGAGTACATCACAGCAAAGTCCAGAGTTGTTTTTTCCTAGCATACTGGTTTAAAGGACATGAAGATATTCTATTTGCTAGGGTTTTCAAAAAGCTCTACCCTTTTGCTCCAAATTATCTCCCCTTTCTCTCACTGAAACACCTCTATGGAATATACTGTCAGAGCCTCATCCTTTACCTGCCCACGTGCCTCCCCATCATGTTTTCTTTCTGTTTACAAGTTGGGGAGACAAAGCTGCAGGTAAGTGGCAGTAGAGAGAGAAATCATATTCTGACAGCAAAGAAGGCAATAATTCAATATTAGTCCATTTTTTAAATGTGGGTTAAATTAGAAAATAAAACCAGTTTACCTGACCCTGAAGTAACTACAAACTGCTGTAACCCCAGATAAACGTCTAGATTGTCCTGAAGAACTGGGAACTGAAAACAAAAAAACCACAATTAAAAAACAAAACATAAATGTGAGTTTTAACAGCATTTTACCATTAAAACAGCCCAAGTACCTCTGGGAGGTGGGGTGGGATAAAAACTCTTCTCTGGGAACCTTTACATACCCTACAAAGAGGTAGCTCTCCTCACCCCTAACAATTTCTACAACTGAAACCACCATCAGTTTGATACTTTTTAAAAACAAAGCAGTGGATGCTGGGTATGATTATGATGTTCCTAAAAGAGGACTTCAAGCCCCAAATGATCTGATTCTTGTAGAGTTCTGAGACAGGCCCATCTCCCTTCAAATCCAAGGTAAACCTACCCTTGAGAGAAATACAGATATGCCTTTATTCAAGTGCATGGCAAAGTGAAAAGACAGGCCAAATTATTTGGAAGTCATTTTCCCTTACTCATTTAGCAGAGAGGACCTTCATACCAGAGCTGTATCTTTTCTTTCTAAACTGCTATTCACCACTAACATAAAGATAAAAACTTTAATGTGGCAAATCCCTAAGAATGGCAGGTGACAAAATGGCAATCTCCATAGAAAAACAAAAGATACAATGCAAAACTGACCCCAATAAATTAACTTGCCTTTGAAGGAGAGGCTTAATGAAATCCTCAGAAAACAGGTACCACTTAGTCAGTGAAATCAGTCCTATGACTAAAGATTCTAGCACATAAATATAAGCAGAGAGTGCCAGCAATTTGCCAAGAGTGAGCTTTACAATGGCTGGCTTTTCAGCAATGTGAGTCATATAAATAAACCTTCTATTCAGCCCAGCCACTTTCTAGCTACTGATAAAGGCATTAGTAAAGTACATATTATAGACAAGAGTTTAGGAAGGAAAAACAGGGCTTCCCAAAGTTGATCTAACATGTTTGGGGGAAATATTAACATTTGATCAATTTGAGGATTGGGTATTACTTTCTGCTTAGAATATGTATCTTTTTACAATACTGGTGAGCAAAAAAGCCTTACTGCTCATCCTACATGTGCAGGGCAATCACTGGGCTCTTTAACCCCCTCCAAACGTGAGTTACCAGTGTCGAGAAGGCGTGTGTGGGAAGGAGCTCCATCACTTTGGCCACCACCTCCAAGCTCTGGCGTAAGTACCGCTGCCACTCTGTCTGCTGCTGCAGGGGAAACACAGACGGGTCAGCTCTCCTATAGCAGAATCCTGTCATTTTCCCTGCCAAGCGATCCTCAGCCTCACTCTTAGACATACCATTTTGAAGAAATGGCAAATGATGGAACCAGGTTATTTGGTACTTTAAAAAGGCCAAGCTAAAAGATATTTTTTAACCCAATAAATTGTCATTAAAAGCTTTTTCCTAAAAAGAAGATGATCCCAATGGACACAGACACTAGGGGGGTGAGGGCATGAACAAGGGGGTAGGGTGGGGGCAATGGGGAGATAAGGACACATATGTAATACCTTAATCAATAAAGAAAAAATTTAAAAAAAGAGATGATCTAAGAATGATCTACTTTTTCCCCTACAATCATAGGAACAGAGATAGAAAAGCCACTTGTGAAAAAAAATGCTCGTGTTCCCTTTCCCCCACCCCAGCTATAGGAACTGGTCACTCATTCCTTCTGAGACAGGCCAGTACTGGGTTCTGTAAGTATCACTACGTCAGTGCCACTGAAGTATGGTCTGCAAACAGGCAGCATCGGATCTCCTGGGGGCTTGTTAGATGTGCAATGCTGTGACCCCCACCCGAAACCCCCTGAATCAAAATCTGTTTAACATCTGTGCCAGGGACTCTTATCCATGCTAGAATATGAGAAAGCACTGGCCTAAGTACATGGTCAGCAAACTGCGGCTCGAGAGCCACACACAGCTCTTTGGCCCCTTGAGTGTGGCTCTTCCACAAAATACCACGTGCGGGCATGCACGTACAGTGCAATTGAAACTTCATGGCCCATGTGCAGAAGTTGATATTTTGTGGAAGAGCCACACTCAAGGGGCCAAAGAGCCGCATGTGGCTAACGAGCCGCAGTTTGCCGACCACTGGCCTAAGTCATACAGTTAACAAGAAGTAAAGCCAAAGTTTACCAAGTGCCTAGTATGCACCAGGCATGTAGCCAGTCCCTCTGCATGTGTTACCCTCACATAACTGTCAACACAGACATACCTCCCCCTTTTGGGAGATGAGAAATTTAAGGTTCAGAGAAAATTCAACGCCCTGGCCTCTGTCTCCTTCATGGATTCAAAGCCAGGCCATCTGGTTCCAAGTACAGAGTACAGAGCTCTTACAATCCAAACATGGCTACCCTCCTGGGTCTTGATTATGCCACAGTCACTGCGATGTTGAAAATATATCAGTGACTTGACAATTTTGAAGTGCATGGTGGTTAAGGAAAAAGAACACTGGAGTTGTGTCCTTAAAGACATTTTCCTTATCAATGTGGGGCACCAGCATCAATAAATTCAAAACTGACTTTAAGAAATATCAGTTTAGCCCTAGCTGGTTTGGCTCAGCGGATAGAGCATCAGACTGCAGACCGAAGAGTCCCAGGTTCGATTCCAGTCAAGGGCACATGCCTTGGTTGCTGGTTCGATCCCCAGTTGGGGGTGTGCAGGAGGCAGCCAATCAATGATTCTCTCTCATCATTGATGTTTCTATCTCTCTCTCCCTCTTCCTTCCTCTCTGAAATCAATAAAAATATATTTTATAGTAAAATCCATCAAATAGTAACAAAAAGAAGTGGTTCCTGCTTAAAAAAAAAAAGAAAATACCAGTTTACAAAATGTACTCAAAAGAAATTTCCTTTCATTCTAGCCTTATCGTTTAAGTATCTCTTTCACTATTTCTACCAGCATCCAACTAGCTTTTATCTGTTGCCCGAAGTGGGAGTGGAGGTATGGGTGCCAGGCAGGGAAAATAGGAGGGATACAGAGTTCTTACACTTTTCACTGAACACATGTACTTACATCTCTAGTCCATATAAGTAAAAATGCCTATAAAACTTTTTTTACAGTTAATGAACCCAAAGAGACAGGAAGGACATAAATTTCAAATGAACAACTCAAACTGTAGGACTACTCTGGCTTAAAAAGTCTCCAGAGCAGAGGACTGGGAGCTCTGGGTCTCCGTGATGATTCACACCACATGACAACCAAGAAAGGCCAACTAGGGCAGGCTGCTTACATCATCATCCAGAGTCTCGTCATCCAACTCCTCCAGCTGGGCCTGGTTGTATCTGAACTGGATTCGATTCAACACCTCCGTGAGCAAGAGGACCAGGGCGTCTTCGTACCTACGTGCAGGGAGAAATTAACATCAGGTGAGACCAGGCTTTTAGCCTCAGACTTCAAAAAGGCATCCTGCACTGTGAAGGGAATGGCGTCCGTGTCCTGAATTACCATACACAAAGGAGCATCTATTCTAAACTAAACTTAGTGTCTGGGCTGGCAAGTGTGTAGGTGAGAGCGGAGCAGTAGCAGGGTGTTCCTTATTTAACTGTGCTCCAGCACCTTCTTGCTGGACTGACCCTTTTAACATATATAATGTCCTTCTTTGTCTGTGGCAGCGATTTTTGTCTTCAGGTTTATTTTGTCTGACATTAGCATAGCTACCCTGACCTCTTTTGGTTATTGTTTGCATGAAGTATCTTTTTCTATCCTTTTTATTTCAACCTGTGTCTCTGAAACTAAAGTGAGTCTCTTGTAGACAACACAGACTTGGACAAATTTTTTTTTCATCCATTCTGCCCATTTCTACTTTTTTTTTTTTTTTTGTTTTTAATTATTTTTTTTATTTTTTTAATTAAATCTTTATTGTTCAGATTATTACATTTGTTCCTCTTTTTTTCCCCCATAACTCCCCTCCTCCCAGTTCCCGCCCCACCCTCCGCCCTCACTCCCCACCCACTGTCCTCATCCATAGGTGCACGATTTTTGTCCAGTCTCTTCCCGCATCTCCCACACCCCTTTCCCCCCCAAGAATAGTCAGTCCATTCCCTTTCTATGCCCCTGATTCTATTATAATCACCAGTTCATTCTGTTCATCAGATTATTTATTCACTTGATTCTTAGATTCACTTGTTGATAGATGCATATTTGTTGTTCATAATTTGTATCTTTAACTTTTTCTTCCTCTTCCTCTTCTTAAAGGATACTTTTCAGCGTTTCATATAATCCTGGTTTGGTGGTGATGAACTCCTTTAGCTTTTCCTTATCTGTGAAGCTCTTTACCTGACCTTCAATTCTGAATGATAGCTTCGCTGGATAAAGTAATCTTGGTTGTAGGTTCTTGGTATTCATCACTTTGAATATTTCTTGCCACTCCCTTCTGGCCTGCAAAGTTTCTGTTGAGAAATCAGCTGACGGGCGTATGGGTATTCCCTTGTAGATAACTGAGTTTCTTTCTCTTGCTGCTTTTAAGATTCTCTCTTTGTCTTTTGCTCTTGGCATTTTAATTATGATGTGTCTTGGTGTGGTCCTCTTTGGATTCCTTTTGTTTGGGGTTCTCCGCACTTCTTGGACCTGTAAGTCCATTTCTTTCACCAGGTGGGGGAAGTTTTCTGTCATTATTTCTTCAAATAGGTTTTCAATATCTTGCTCTCTCTCATCTTCTGGCACCCCTATAATTCTGATGTTGGTATGCTTGAAGCTGTCCCAGAGGCTCCTTACACTATCCTCGCATTTTTGGATTCTTTTTTCATTCCGCCCCTCCGGTTGGGTGTTTTTTGCTTCCTCGCATTTCAAATCATTGACTTGATTCTTGCGCTCCTCTGGTCTGCTGTTGGGAGTCTGTATAGTATTCTTTATTTCAGTCGGTGTATGCTTAATTTCTAGTTGGTTCCCCATCATAATATCGAGGGTCTCATTAGTTTTCTTGTAGATCTCATTAAGTTTATCGGCGGCTTCTAAACAGTTCTTGAGAGACCTTAAAAGTGTGGTTCTGAACTCTATATCTTCCATTGACAATTTTGTCCTGTTTCTTTGTCTCAGCATTTTGTTATGCTTTCTTGGTGCACCCCCTAGTGGTCTTTGTGCGCAGTCTTGTAGTTAAGCCTTGATTGTTGTAGCTAATACCAGGGAGGGTTTGACCTCCAGGCCAAGTGGCTGTGAGAATCAGCTGTGTCTGCAGTGAGAGAACTTCTGTCCTCTAGGGAGGTGCTAATCTAGCCTTTGCCTGAGGCTATCCGGCAAATGCCTGTGTGCAGGGCTTGGGCGGGGCGGGTCGCACAGGATCAACAGGGTGGGCCGGAGAGAGCAGTTATGGCGGCTCTCAGTCCTGTCCCCAGGGGCTCTGCCTCTCTGAGTCCCAGCACCCACTGCAAACCTCGGAGAGAAAGCTGCACTCGCTCTGACCAAAGCCAGACAGTCCCGCTTCTCCCGTTTGAGTCTGGGTCCCTAAAGACTCGCCCGTATCTGGAGCTCAGAGTCTGCGACTCCCTCCCGATTGAAAACGCCAACCGCGCCCTCCGCCGCCAGCCCGCTCCGCGCACTCTGCACCTCAGTATTTGACTTCAGCACTGAGCCTCCTCTGAGTGTCCGTATGCGTTTCTCTTTCCTCCTAGTTGTAGGACTTCCACTCAGCCAGCGTTCCTGTGGTTCTGGGTGATGTCCGTTCCGTCTTTTAGTTTCACTTTTGAAGTAGTTGTTCAAGGCAGCAAACTCCAGCGTTAACCTATGCCGCCATCTTGGTTCTCCTCCCATTTCTACTTTTTAACTAGAAGTTAACCCTTTACATTTAATGTAATTACTGAAAAGGAAGGACTTCTGCTATTTTGCTGTTTTCTCCATGTCATATCGTTTGTTTCTCAATTCCTCCATTTTGTGTTAAATAGTTTCTAGTGTACCATTTTAATTCCCTTGTCATTTCTTTTACCATATATGTTTTTTTAATTTTATTTTTTCCATCCCTTTTTATCTCCTCTATGTCCTCTTTCACCTCCACCCCCATAACCCCCACATTGTTGTCCAAGTCCATGAGTTCACTCTTTTTTGCCTAATTCCTCTACCCACCCACGAGCTATCTGCCTGCTCTCTATCTATTAGTCTATGTCTAATTTGCTTGGTAGTTCAGCTTGTTCATTAAATTCCACATTTGAGTGAAATCATATGGTACTTGTCTTTCTCTGTACCATATATTTTCTCAGTGGTTGCTCTGGGGAATTACAGACTCTACATATAAATATCAATTAATTCAATGATTCAATCCTTTTAACAACTGAGAGAGATAAGTGGTATTAATGGTATTCTTCTGATGAGAAAACTACAGTTGACAGAAGTTAAATAAATTGCCCAACGCTAACTGAGTTGAATCCAAGGCTCCCTAACTCAACCTCCCATGTTCTCTCTACACATAAACCACCAATGGGCTTTAAGCCTGCTCCACCCACTCCCCCAAACCTACTATTTTTTTTTCTTTAAATCCTCACCTGAGGATATGTTCTTCATTGATTTTTTAGAGAGAGAAAAAGGAAGGGGAAGGGAGAGGGAGGGGAGAAGGGGAGGGGAAGAGAAGGGAAGGGGAAGAGAGGGGGAGGGAAACTAAGAGAGGGAGAGGGGATAGAGGGGGAGGGGGAAACATAGATGGGCTGCCACTTGCACATGCCCTGACCAGAGATCGAACTCAAAACCCAGGTATGTGCCCTGACTGGGACTCAAACCCACAACCTTTTTGGTGTACAGAATGATGCTCCAACCCACCGAGCAAACCCAAGCCTGCTCTTTAATCAGTTTTAAGAACACATAACCTAAGTGAAAAATGGAAAGAGTCTGGAGAAACCCCAATGCGTTCATGTCTGAGCATAACTTCTCAGAAACATTTGGAGCCTGAGGCTGGATATTACTCACATGTGATAAGCACTTAACTCAGAAGACACCAAGTTATATGCAACAGTTAATAACGCAAAGGCCAACAAGCCACTAATTTTCAAGAACAAACCATGTTGCCTAAGTGCTTGCCTGTCCTGAAATGTGTCTCAGATAGGATCAGGGATTGCTCCCACTCATAAAGCAAGCCATCCTGCTGGTCATTCAGCTCTCAGCGCCAACCTACTCTCCAGGCTGTGTGATACTAGAGCTGAGACAAAGCAAAGCACACTTCTCCTCGGCCCACTGGGCTCTCTCAACAGGGTGCAGAGGAAGACAGGGCGGGGGGAAGGACTCGTCTTCCTATGGGTTTGCTGACCTGGCAGTGTCGCCCCAACAATGGTCACCTGGTGGTGACAACTGTTGCAGTTCCCAACTTCCACACTCCCAGAACCAGCCTCATCGTGCACTCTCAGAAGTGCCAGTAGTAGCCAGACTATTCTCTCTCCTCAAAGGATTGAGTCCCCGCTCCATGGGCCCCACCGGAGCTCCTGTGGAAGTGGGGTGGCCCTCTGTCCTCAGACACATGAGCTCTAGCTGCCTGGGTTCATCTCTCTGATGTAGATTTCATAACCCCAACCTCTTTCCTTTGGTACCCCTCAACCTAGGGGCGGAGTTGCTTCCTATAGTTATCATCTGTTATCACAGGGTTCTTCCCCTTTTACTTTCCCAGTCCTCTAAAACCAGTTTAACCAATTTCCTACACTGAATTCTTAAAATAATCTAGTAATTTCTGTTTTCCTGACAGGACTCAGTCTATATATGTGAGTACTATGATAACAAGATAACCAAAGTTGAATGATATCCAATGTCAAGATCAAATACAGGCCATCTACTCTAAGAGTTCCAACTCATGTGATGAGAGTGTTTGTAAATGACTTCATAACCTAGATTAGATTGGCAACTAAACATGGCCCAGAGAAGAATACTGGCAGGGAAATCAGTAATAAAACAGGCAACATCTGTGGGAAAAATGTCAAGAGAATCAAAATCCCAGCCACACAGATCAGACAAGAAGAAAAAAATCGAAGGCATCCAACTTGAAAAGGAGTAAGTAAAATTGTCATCATCCGTAGAAGACATGATATTGTACATAGAAAACTCAAAGACTCCACAAAAAAACTACTAGAATTAATAAATGAGCCCAGCAGGTGTGACTCAGTGGTTGAGCATCAACCTATGAACCAAAACGTCATGGTTCGATTACCATATACAGGGCATATGCCTGGGTTGAGGGCTCAATCCCCAGGGGATGTGCAGGAGGTAGCCAATCAATGATTGTCTCTCACCATTGAAGTTTCTCTCTCTCTCTTTCCCTTCCTCTCTTAAATATATATGTACTAGAGGTCTGTTGCACGAAATTTGTGCACGGGAGGGGGTATGTGCGACTGTCCCTGGGATCGGGCCTAAACCAGCAGTCGAACATCCCTCT